TATTTGTGGATTTTTATAGATTATTTGATAAAACAAAATATTCTTATCACATCTTATTTTGTAGAATTTTTAAGTTAATTTTTTAATATGTAATTTTTTTGATCTAATACGAATTTTTGAATAAAACATTCTTCAAAAAATACAAAATTGTGCTTTATAATTCTAAATTTATAATCAAGTTTAGGATGTTGAGAATATTAAGGGCAGCGGAACTGGTTGTAACACCTGGGGCGTTATTGCCCCTTTTAGGGGCAGCAAACACCCCCCCTTAGCTTGGGGCTTCATACGGGTTTCATCGCTTGTGCGTCAAAACTTTAATGGGCTTCATCTCTTTATATTCTTTCTCTTTAAAAATACATACACAAACATAATTTTTTTACTCTATATTTTTTGTTTAATGTGATATTTTTTTGTTTAAATTTTTTTTATTAATGTAATTTTTTTGTTGTTTTTTAACGTGCTTTTTTTTATCGACTGTATTTTTTATTTAATGAATTATTTCAGTTTCCAATTTGTTACTACAACTCGGATTTGAATGAAGACATTTTTAGTCGCTCGAATAATTAATAAATTCTTTGTAGTATTGTTTTTTTATGGATGTAATATTTTTTTTAATGAATGTAACTTTTTTTTATGAATGTAATATTTTTTTAATGAATGTATTTTTTTAATGCACTAGTCTCCTTTTGATTAATTTAAATAATAAATTAATTAAAATGTATTTATTTAAATTTAGAAGATGTATATTAAAAATGTAAAAAATGAAGGTTTGAAGCCCCGAAGCTTCAAACTCATTTCCACTGAATCTGTAAGATAAGTTAAAGCCGACGTGGTAGAGAGAGAAATTTTGAAATCCCGGGGTTTGAGGAACATTTAGAGTGCTCTAAGACTGAACAAAATTTGGTGAAGAATAATGGGAAGGTGCACCCCGGCTAGTCCAAAGTAGGGAGAGGACGTATGCATTTAAACAAGCCCACGCGTGCACATTTAATTGAATACACTCCTCCATCTTTATATTTATATACATATAGGCCTGCCTTTTCAACAACCAGTCTGTCTGACCAATTCAAGCATATCCTTTACTTCTTCTGCCTATATATATTCCTTCTCTCTTATGTATCTCTCTCTCCAATTTACTCCCATCCACACATTGACACATCCAACATTGGCCATGACATTATACCAAAACCAAAAAAAGAAAAAGTTACAACTGCTCACACAATTGAAATATTGATCACGAACTCCTAATTCCAAAAAAAAATAATTTTTTTTTTTTTAAAATCCTAAATCTATCCCAACTTTAACCATATTTTCTTACAGATATACCCAATATATCATCCCGCATTGTTCCAACTATAACTTCTAAGTCGAACCAAATCGGCCAGTTGCATGCAAAGCAAATATTAAAAAAAAGAAGATGAGCCTCATTCCCTTGGGGTCCCTCAAACCCGGTCGGACGACCACTGAGAGGAGGTAAATTAGACTTTAATTGCATGTGACAGAGAGTAGAGTCTGCGATAATTAAGTACTAGCTGAATCCCTATATATTTAACATAATTATCTGCCAGTGCAATTGACTGAACTCGAAATGGGTTTATCCAGTGGTATTTTCTTCTTCTTTTTTTCCGGACTGCATAACACTCACCAACGCGTATAAAGCAAATATAAATGTATATGTTGGATCGATGTGCGACGGGCCGACAAAAGGGGATCATAAAAAAAGATTCCACAGTGGCAATTAAGTAAAACTGGGCAAAAGGAAGTAATAAAGCCGCAGAAAGTGATACGTCGCAGTTAATACGGCTGCCGCCGTGCATGGGATACCAGTTTGACTATAAATGTTGAAAATTAAAAAAAAAACAACTTTGCTACACTTACACTAAAGAGTGTATCACAAAGTTAAACAAAAAGGAACTCCGTCCCAAAAGTTTTATTCTGTAACTTTTGTTGGTTATAATAGGATAGATAAGAAATATTTAAGAAAACATTCTCATTGATCACACGTCTTAAAAGTTTATCTGGTTAACTTTATCAACCTTGCTTTCAACCACGTGTGGCTAGTTCCCCCTAATTAGGTACATAGAAAACACAGAATATGATATTTTTCTAACTATGGCCACAAAAATAAAATTATTTTTCCTACCTTGCTTTGAACCACGCGTGGTTAGTTCCCCCTTAATAAGTTCTAATTACATATGTGGTCATCTATAATTGGGATTTATTCCCAAGATGGTCCTTCATAAATAATGTTACTCAAATGAGGATTAATTGAGGGTATTTTGGTATTTTTATCCGCTAAATTTAGAATTAATTATTAAAATGATCATTTATAATGAAGTGCTTTCTCAAAATGTTTTTTTTTCTAATTAAAGATATGTATTTGATTTGATTTTTAAAAGATTTTTTTATAAGTTTAAATAATTCATGAATTGTTTATAGTCAATGTATTTTTTCAATTTTATATTTAGTTGTACAAAAATGTCTGTTTCGAAAATATAGTTTAAATTTAAATGATCAAAGTACCAAAATATCTAATACTCCCTCCGTCCTATAATGATCTTCCCAGAGTACTATTCCAACTTCACGGGAATTTATATTTATTTGTGCTTTTTCATGGCCTATATGATAAAATAAAATATTCTTGTCACCATTTGTTTTGTTGAACTTTTGGTGTAGTTTTTAAATATGTATGTTTTATTTTTTATTTTTATACCAATATTTAAATAAAATAGATTGAAAAAATTTAGGATTTTTCTTCGTTTTGCGAACCGGGAAGAAAGATATAGGATTTTTCTTCGTTATGAAAAATTAAAGGGCGAAAAGAGACACCCTCAAGAATATGTTTACTGAGAGAAAGCAAAAAACTAGACAAATATTTCGGAACGGAAAGGAATGTAGGTGGTGTATGGCAGAGATGGAGACGTACGTGTATGTGGTGCGTGCAGTCTCGTGACTCGGGAAGGTATGACTTTGACCACCACCACTTTTTCTTTCCCCAAAACTAAACCCCAATCACTCATTTCCCCTACCTTACTAAATACTCTCTTCGTTTAGAAATATTTTTCACGTGTTGACTTGGCACGCTTATTAAGAAATAACAAAAAAATGCATAATTTTCAAAAATGCACATACTATAAACTTTTAAATCTCCTTTTGTTATTAAAAAAATAGTAAAAAAGTAAATTTGTGATAAAATAGAAGGGTATTATTGATATTTATTCTTAAATAGTATACTATAAAAGGAAAAGAGAAAATTATTTCTGAACGAATCAAAAACGAAAGTGGGAAGAATATTTTGGGGGATGGAAGGAGTAATTCCCTGCACAAACACAAAACAAAGCCCGCATGAGCACACGTACGTAGTAGGCATGCATTGGCCAGCAGGTTGGATCACACGTGCCTCTTGCCCACGGGGTCGCATTCAATAATACATTTTGCAACACTATATTTACTTACTCATTTTGCCTAACTATATCTAGCTAGGGAGGGAGGGCTTATTTTCTCTAGCTTATCTTGTTAATCTAATTTGGTTTGATTAGTATTATATTTAATATAAATTATATATTAATAATCTGTATGTTAAGACAAATCAAACAAGACCACACATGACTATATTTAATTTAGGCTTACATATTGAGAGAATTTGATGAGTCAAAGTACTTAGATGAACAGTTTCAAAAGTCAAAACTGGACGAATACTCCGGGACGGAGGGAGTATTTGAAGTTGTTCCTGATATCATATTACGATCAGACGTACCTTAATTGATGAATAATGACGTACTTCTTCTATTTGAAAAAATACTTCCTATCTATTTTTTTCTCTTCCATCAAAACACTTTCACATTATATTACTCCTTCCGTCCTATAATGTTTTTCCCGTTTCTGTTTACGAGGCTTGACCGACTTTATTTTCAATTCAATTTATTTGATTGTAAGTGTACAATTAAAAAATAAAATTTATATATTTAAAAACTATATCAAAAGTTTTACAAAACAAGTGGTGACAAGACTATATTATTTTATCAAATACCTAATGAAAATAGATAAAGAAAGTGATTAAAGTTTTTTTTACCTTTCCTTTTTCTTATTCTATCTATCACATTTTACAATACTTTTTATCTAATAATCTATCCATCAAATCAAGGATAAAATTAAAAATGAACTACAATTTAATACTTTCTTATTTTGTCACTTAATCAAAATAGAAATTTTTTTCAAGAATGGATGGAGGGCACAATATTTCGTATAAAAGAAGATAATGATCGACGATAAGAAAGTATTAATTAAATGTACTAATTTTTCTTTGTATATATACCATGAACAAATTTTACTATCTATTACTGTAATTAATTTAAGATCAAAACTCAATTTACCAGATGTATGGGCCAGTGGTTTTTTTTCAATTGATTGCATTATGTATATAAAATGAGCCGAGCCATGATTGGCGATGTGACCAATACAAGCCTAGCTTGGCATGACAACTCAAATTGCAGGCTTGCTCATCGCACTGGACCTGAAGGCCCAAATTTTGACTTCCCATATCCTGTTTGGGCCACTCATGTGAGGCTAGAACTCTAGGCCAAGTTTTATAGGGTTAAATAAAAATTAAATTTTTTTTTATTGCTATGCTTAGTGTGTGACTCGTTAACGTTTGAAAGTTTGGAATAAAATCTAAACTTGTAATAAACTCATCAACTTCGCATTATCTTTATCTAAAAAACTATTAATTTTATATGAATATGTTCATTTCAATTTATTTTTATTACTTATTTTTAGTTGAAAATAACTTGACTCAGATCATGCCAGTGGTTCAGGCTAGATTATTTTTTTTTACATTATATACTTCATATATTCAAAAAAAAGAGGAGAGAATAAAACACCATTTGAAAAATCATTTTGAGTGTCATATTATGACCCTCACCCATTAAATTTGAAATCATTAAATTTGCACAATCCATCACACTTCAAAATTTGCAACTTAAGTCTTCTCACATATTGTCTAAGTCTCACCCACTTCATTCATTTTACATTGCATTTGGGCTCTATTAAATATAAACTATTGGACTCAAGCCCTAACTCTAAATACTCAAAATATTGGCCCAAGCTTTAAATCCATATTCCTTCTAAAATACTTAAGACATTTTTTATTCTTAATAACAAAAAAAAGGTCTAGGGGGGCAACAGTGGAAAAGAAAAAGCAAAAAATCAGAGTCTAACACAAGAGTTGACATCATCTTTCCCACACAATAGCTCCCCATTTAGCTTGTCCACTGCTTGGAATGCTCCTCCTCCTTCACTCCTCTGCATCAATTACCATGTAAAAAATTTCACATACTTTTTTATTATAGGCAAATTCTTATGTGGTCCTAAGTTTCATGCTTATTTTATAAATCTCGGTGCATTGATATTGTAAAAGGTTGAAGGTTTTGTGAAAAAAAACATCCACTTGTCAGTAAATGAAAAGTGTGGGGGACCTTACGACATCAAAAAAACAAGTATTTATAATAACGCGCCAGGAAAATTTTAAGTTTAGACTGGTCCTCGATTTTTGGGTTGTGTTTGCGATCAATATATAATCTTGAATTATTCTAAAATATTTAATTTTGAAAAGTATCAGCGTTAGAGTATACTGTCGCTATCCCAAAAAGAATATATAACAGTTTACTATTCAAAAATTACAAAAACTTTGTTTATGTGTACGTGTTCATGAGTTATTTGATTAAATACGAGTAAAGTAAACTATTCTTGTGACATTTTATTTTGAATAACTTTTGACGTAATCTTTAAATATGTAAACTTTATCTTTTATTTGTATACCATTCTGTAAACAAAATGAATTGAAAATAATTAAAATTTCACTACATTTTGCGTAATGTGACAAATTTTTGGGAAAGAGGGAATAAAAATAAGCGGGCTAAGATTTTTTACCTTATAAAAATCAACAGCCAAGAAATTGGGCCAACGATTGGCAGCAGCAGCATGGCATGTGTCCAACATGTCCATTAGTGGGCCTGAGTTTTGTAGGCAAGCGGCGGGCTCAAAAGGGGCCGACCCAAAGAAGTTCATCAGAACCAGTGATTTAGTGGTGTCGTTTAGAGGGGATGACTCGCCCCGGCTCGGGCACTCTCCGCTCTTCATTCCCCCATCTCCGTCTGCACAAACATACCAACCATGTTTATTAAAATTGGATCCAATGTTTTTGTATCAAATCCTATTTGGATACTCTTTCGATATTTTATTTTTATTTAAGGTAATTTTTTTCATTTTTTCGAATAGAGAACTGTAAAGTTCTCGGTTAATCCCATGATATTACTACCGCCCTTCAAATAAAAAATCAACATAATTTTTTTTTACACGTTTTAAACTTTTTGTAATAAGTGTGTAAAGTTAAAAGGTTAAACTCCACTATTGAACTTTCAATTTTATGAGTTGTGCACGATTGGTGTTTCAAGTTTCAAAAGCTTATAAATAGTCTTTCAACTTTATGAGTTATGCACGATTAATCTTTCAAGTTTCAAAAGTCCATAAGTAGTTTTTTTCAAGTACACGTCAATCCTCCAGATGAAGTCCTTTTGACGGTAAACGTCAAAAGCTAAATGGAAAACTAGTTCATATAATACGGAGTAGTCGTACCCAGTGGAATTTAGTAGTATTATATAGGACTTGTATTTCATTAAACTTTTAATGTTTACTGTCAAAAGTACCTCATCTAAAGGAATGACGTGTACTTGACGGACTATTTATGAATTTTTGAAACTTGAAAGATCAATCGTACATAACTCATAAAGTTGAAGGACTATTCATGGAGTTTTAAAACTTGAAAGATTAATCGTGCATAACTCATAGATAAAGTTGAATGATCAATGATGGATTTTAGCCAATTTAAAATGAGAAAGAAAATTGTGGAGCAAGAGTTAGGATTAAGTTTGAAGGAAACATACATTGGTTTTCGACCATGTAGTTCCATTGGTAAGCAATCCCCTCACTCTGTTCCTTAGCCCTGACAGAAGTGAAGACGAGTAGGCGGTGGTTTTTAGCCACCATGTCCCTCACCGGCGGCCAATCGCCGCCGCCTCTGGGCATACTTGACACCGGGAACCAGTACTTCATCAGGCCGGCGTCGGTGAAAACCTTGGTCAGCCCACTGGGGGCCCTCACGTAATCCTCCAATATTATTGTGATTATTTCCGACGGATTTGCTGATAAGAAGGCTTCTATTTGCTTCAGTGTGTCTAATGCTGGCCCCTTAATTGTTTAATTAAAATAATATTATTATGGTTTATACCAGATGAAAAAAACGCCACTACCTCCGTTCTAAATTTAACTTTCGAATTTGATCGCATGTTACGGAAAAAATATATATTTAATTTTGATCGCATGTTACGAAAAAAATATATTTAATTTTTATATAAATTTGATATTGTGGAACATAATTTTAATATATTGTATTGGAGATCATAAAAAAGTCAAATGGAAAGTTAATTTTAGGACGGAGGAGTTTTTTTAAATGAAAAAGACTATTTAAATTAAGGCTAAACTCCACTATTGGTCCTTCAACTTTATCAGTTGTACACGATTGATCCTACAAGTTTCAAAGGTCCATAAAAAGTACTTCAACTTTATGAATTATGCACAATTAGTCCTTCAAGTTTCAAAAGTCTGCAAGTAGTTCTTCAAGTACACGTCACCCATCCACATGAGGTTCTTCTGACGGTAAACGTTAAAATCTAAATGAAGTATTAGCTCCATATAATACGGAGTAGTTGTACCTAGTGGAATTTATTCGTATTATATGGAACTAGTACTCCATTTAGCTTTTAATGTTTACTGTCAAAAGGACCTAATCTAGAGGACTGACGTGTACTTGAAGGACTACTTATGGATTTTGGAAACCTGAAGGACCAATTAAGCACAACTCATAAAATTGAAGGACTACTAATAGACTTTTAAAACTTGAAGGATTAGTCGTGAACAACTCATAAAGTTGAAAGAATCAATGATGGATCATACTAGAAATTCACTGCGGGAGTTTCCGATGACAATTGCAAATGATTTATACATACACGAACGATAATCATTTGTCTTATGTGACGAATCTATGGAGATGTGTTTATGATATTTTTGTTAAATGAATGAGTTAATTAGGTGGGAGGAGATAGAAGAAAAGAAAACGTACAAAAGCAGTGTAGTCATGGCAGTGGCCACCAAAGGAATGGCACAACCAAACATCTCCTTTATAGTCGTACACGTCAAGCATTAACCCACGTACTCCATTCTGATTGTATATTCATTAATTAACAACCTCATTAATTAACGTACAAATTCAAAATAAAATAATAATAAAAGACACACTATATATAATGATTAATTGAATTTAATACTCCGTATTAAGTTATTTTATTTTAATTTTATAATATGTTTAGATAGATCCACCATGCATAGACCTACATACGAACAAAATAAATATTTCTTTACTACTCTCCCCGTCCCTTAAAAAGCTTCACATTTGGACTTTTAAAGGATTTAAGAGGAGTGCATTTTGGTGTTGATTTTCTAAAAACGCCCTTTGATGTGATGGATAAAATATGATGTGATAAGTAGATTAATAGAGAAAAAATGTGATGTGATAGGTAGGTTAAAAATTAATAGAGGTAAAAGTGACTTTTTAATAGGAAAAGAGACATGTTTTTTGGGACGGATGAAAAAAGAAAGGTGGAGGGTTTTGTGGGATGGAGAGAGTGTTTAAATAAGCATAATTTTAAAAAAAAATGATAGATTTTTTATGTAAGAAAGTCCACAATAATATTATGCATCCAAGGAACACCATCATCAAACTATCCACGAAAACATATTAAAAAATTGATTAAATCAGTAATAATTGTCTTTTATTTTGGAATGAAACACTTTTATACTAAAACGTTACAACGGGCATATGTGTAATATGGTAAGAACTTATATACTTAAATCAGTAATAACTGTGTCTTTTATTGTTTAAAGGAAAACTTGCACGAAAAAAACATTATCTTTAATCATTTTTCTATTTTTGGCACAAACTTTAATTTACTTTTAGTGAATTAAATATACAACATTTATTTATAGAGAGTTGTGCTCTCTATAAGAAAATGGATTTAAAAAATTTGGGTGAAATACTCCGTATTTTAGATTCATCAAATTAAAAAAACATACTACAGTAAAAAGTTTAATAGAACCCATGTGAAATTTTTAAATTTAAGTTACAACAACCAATAAAAAACTTAATGGTTTATAATGGGACAACGAATAAGAGATCTATGCGAATTATAAATAAATATGCATTGTTGAAGAAAAATGGTATGCAAATAAACGGCATGCCTAAAATTGGCAAAGAAATAAATGTGTGCATTTGATTGATAGAAAATAAATTCCGTGCTAGAAATAGGTATAGAAAAATGGGCATGGTCATGCTTTTCAAGGGAGAGAATAGACCAAAGTAAAACTAAAAGTCTAAAACATTGAAAAATATAGTAAAATAGAACTTTCATGTTTTTATTCCCGAAATAGAACTAAAAATGCATTTATATTATCAAACATGGTCATGTACATTACCAAAAAGTATAGTAATGTGCACATGTACAATACTACATTACAACCACATTACCACAGTGTGAAGTCTTATTTTAAGGAAAAAAACATGAAAGTCCTATTTTGATACTTTTCTCTATGTTTTTGTCCTATTTAGGGTTATTTCTATTTTTCATGCAATTTTCTCGAAATTAAATACTTTCTTAATCCCATAAAGATTTTCCTATTTTGACTTTTAAGAAATTTAAGGAAGAAATAATTTTGTGTTGACTTTTCAAAAATAACCTTGATATGATGGGTAAAGTAAGATCTGATAGGTAAATTATTAGTAAAAAGGAATGATGTGATAGGTAGGTTAATAATTAATAACAGTAAAAGTTATGATAAATGCTATACTACAAATTATTTACAGTTTCACTTTTTTATTCAAATGCTATACAATTTGACTACTGATAAAGGCAATTCTAAATAAATACGGAGTAACTGCTATTTAAATTTGATATATTAAAATTATAGTTCGATATAAAATTATGATAAATACTCGAATACTTTTTCCCGAACTTTTAGGCAATGTAAGTACTTCCTCTGGTCCATTAAATCGTTTCTCTTTCATTTTTTTAATTTTCTAAAACACTTCCACTTTCTATTGAAAAATCACTTTTACACATACCTTTTCATACCTTATATAACACATCATACTTTTTCAGTAATAACCAAACTATCATATCTTATTTTTACCCATCACATCAGGGGCAAAATCAGAAAGTCAACAAAAATTACACTTTACTTATTTTGGCCCAAAGTCATAATGGGAATGATTTAATGGAACCGAGGGAGTAGTAGTTTGTCTAGAAAACCAAATTATGTGTTTTTTTTAATATGAAATGGATAAAATCAGAATATGAATAATAAAGTGGATGGGGGTATGTATATATGGATGATCATACATTGAGCTGGTGAGCGACGTCGTCTTCTTGATTTCTAGGGACAATATTGGGAACTCCGGTGTGTGAAGGGGGGTCGCCATTAATGGAGAATGCGTTATGGGTTGTCAAGAACGCATATTTGTTGAACGGTAGAGAATTATTCTGCATGTCCATATATAGCAAGCAAACATGAATATATATACTGTATATATTAATCAAACATGAATTTTTATACATATAGCATGCTCAATTTGGTACAAATCTAAAATCCTCAATTATTATTATTATTATTATTATTATTATTATTAATTACTTATTTTTGGAACCAAGAACAGTTTGTTAATCACCTCAATACAACACTTACACTTCTTAAATTACTTGTCCCAAAAACTTCTTCATTTGGCCTAAATAAAAAAAATGCATTTACTTTTCTGAAATTTAGCATAATTGAATTATACTAATGTATACGCCTTTATTCATTGAGATCAAATGTACCAAATTAGGACTTTCATGTTTTTATTTCAGAAATAAGACTTAAAATGTATTGTTATTGTCAAAAAATATAGTAATGTGCACATGTACAGTGCCGCATTACAATTACATTACCACAGTGCAAAGTTCTTTTTCGAGAAAAAAAACATGAAAGTTCTATTTTGATACTTTTATTTATAGTTCAGTCCTATTTAGGGTGATTTCTACTATACACGGAAATTTCCCAAACCCTATAATTGTTTCAATTGTCGTTATTTCAAATTTTTAGAACTTTTTCTACCAAAAGTCAAACCAACAAATATTTTGCAGAACAGAGAAAATACATCATATAAATACAAATTTTCACAAAAAAAAATAATAGATGTGATAACTATTCTCTAACTGAACTCTCTTGTGGGTTACAGGGAACTCTCGGAGATTAGGTTCATCTTTTTTCAAATAAAAAGATTTGGGAAAATACGTCGTAAAACTCCACACTTAATTTACAGTGTAACATTTTTTCCCGAGACAGACAGGTGAATCGATCTTATCCCCGAGGGCTCTCAGAACCGGCCGGAAAGTAGAAGAGGTAAAAAGAAATGAGAGAGATGAAGTAATGAATGAAAGGAGACGTACGAGTAGGTTGAAGATATGAGTGGCTGAGGACCGGACACATCGACGCCCAGACAACCCAACAGTGCATGACAAGCAATACAGCCCTTCTCCACACCCTTCATCTGATGATGATGATGATGATGAACACTTCTCACCAATCTCCATTCATTCAATACAAAACAAAGAAGAAAAATATTTACCCAGTCATTCTTAAACCAAATAAATACTGTAAAAAATAAAGAAGAGTATTAATTATTTACCTGCTGGCTTATTGCAAGGTTTAGGGATAATGAAGATATGGAAATGATGGTGAAAACGAGACATGAATTGAGATTTGGGTAAACCCCCAAAACCATGATAATGCAAATCTAGTGACGATGATGAAGAGAAATTTTGATTTTTACTTTTTTTTTGGGGGGGGGGGGGGGGGGGGGGGCGGTGAAACGAACACGCGAGGGAAGCGCCGTGGAGTGTGCGGGCGTGGAAGCGTGTGTATTTATATTCTTCTTTCCTCAAAAATTACACTAAAATCTCTTCCTCTTGATTTTTATGTAAAAACGTCCAGGTCTAACATTATTTGAAATATTGTATCGGATGCCTTCAAGTTTCTAGAAAGAACTTGCAAGTTCTATGCTAACTGAAATAATATACTTTAGGGTTTTTAGAATTGGTAATATTATGCACCTTGAGGGTACATTATATTCTGTCTATTTAGACGACGACATTATGATTAAAAGTTCCTTTACTTTGACAAATTTAAGTACTTCCTTTAAATTCAATAATATAATGAGTATCAATTCAAAATTTAATATTCGTTAACGTAACAGAACTTTTAATGATAACGATCAAAATATGGAAGGAGTACATTTCCCAGAGCCTAGTTAGTAATATACGGTTGGTGTAATAATGCGTCGATGCGTACATGCGCGTAAAATACGTCAAATCTAAATATTTTAATCGAATGATAGTTATCAATTCACAATAAGGTAAATAAACAAAATGAAAAAAATATTTTAATCAAAATATTTACAATAGAATTTATAAATTTTGAATCTCTATTTATTTAAAATAATTATTAGAAAAATATACTCCCTTAATCTAGTAAAAAATAAGTGTAAATTCCAAAATCATCATTTTAAATAAGGTGTTTTTCCAAATCAGTCCTTAATAAGTAAATTCCAAAATGATCATTTTCAAGTAAGGCTAATTTCCATATTTTCTCCTACACTGCCATGCAATTATACTCTCTCATATTACTTAGAAAATGTTCCTTGTATTATTTTCTTCTTTATAGAGGTAAAAAACTTCATTTATGGCAACAAAGTCAATATTATGTACAATGTACATACCTCTAATATTAATAAAATCTCTCTTTTCGTATGGTACCGCCCAAAAAGGCTCATTGTTTTCTCCCGGTTTGAGTTTCCACGTCTAAAATAGCTTGTTCGTATTTTTGGAGATTGTTATGCGCGTTTATCATTTTGACACAGTAAAAATGATAAGTTCAATCAAAACAATTATATATCACCATCATTAGGTGTCCTTGATTAGAGCTCGGTTCTCTTTCTTTTTCTATATGGTCCTCTTTCGGACAACACCCATTTTCCCGGTTTAAGTTTTTATTTTATATATTTTAAGGCATCTTTTATTACCGCTCTACTCTGATCGTGTGGTTGAGTCTTCAACCTCACTCCGACGTGTGGTTAAGTCTTTCCCTGAAAAGGTGGTCACTAGAGCTCTCAGTCAAGTGCATCTTCCATATCGTCCAGTCTGTATATATAGTGCATCACTAATCCATACGTGATTACTAGAAACAACGACATCTAGTCTTGAAATCCTTTGGGCCAAGCTTCCAACCATCATTTCTGTTTTTTTATTGGGCATCCAATCATTTGGTATGACCACAAAAGTTTATATTCCTTTAACAGAGGCGGTGGTGACATGAGATTTTATCACCAAATGTGGCAACAAATCTAAGCCGCCTAGGCAAATTGCTTTCAACAAAGGCAACTTCCATTTATCGGATATGAGTTCTTGGCTAAAGTCACGGCGTGGAAGCCATCCTCCAGTGACATCGGAAAACACGCCTCAACAGTTGTTATAATGGCAGGCTAATGCTTTTCCCTAAATTGAAACAAAGACTATTTTGACATTTTCTTTTGAGAGAGAGAGGAATATAAACTTTTGACCACAAAAGTTTATATTCCTTTAACAGATGATTGTTTTTCAAAATTCAAGATTCTCTCTAGGCTTCTTGGAAATTTTGGGAGAAATATTCCGAAAGACCACTTTTTTGAGAATGTACTTCCAATATTTATAGTGGGATCTTCGTGAACTTTGCACGTCTCGTGCATCGATCTTTGTATGACCAAATTTAATCGGTCCCACCGGTGGCGCTAAATGATGGTGTTAATTATTTCAATCGGTTTTATCATTTTTACTGTGTCAAAATAATAAATGAGCATAACAATCACCAAAAATACGAACAAACTATTATTGACGTGGAAACCCAAATCAGGAGAAAAACAACGAGGCTTTTTTTGGCGGTACCATGCCAACAGGGAGATTTTATTAATATCAAGGGTTTGTACATTGTACACAATATTGACTTTGTCACCATTAATGAAGCTTTTTAGCTCTACAAAGAAGAAAATAATACAAGGAATATTTTTTAAGTAATGTGAGAGAGTATAATTACATGGGAGTGTGGGGGAAAATATGGAAATTGAACTCCTCCATTCTGAAGGAGATGGTGGCATATATATAGTTGCATGAGTGCGCGGTGGAGATAACCATGGTAAGGAGTAAATGGTTGGAGTATTTATGGTAGTGAATGGATTATGAAGATGTTATCATGGTAAGTATTGATTATGAACATAGTTATGGTAGGTGAATTGATAATGAGAAGTGATTAGGAAGTAATAATTATGGAGTAAGCATGGTACGTTATTTAGTTATGTAGTTCGTACCGATACCGTACCAAATATTTCGGTTCAGTATAAGATTTTACACTGTACCAATCCTAATCTCAAAATATTGGTTCGGTATGGTTCATGATGGTTCAGTATGGGAACAAATTGGGATGAATATACATATCTATTTTCCACCTTAAAATTTAACATTGCTTTTTGAAAATTGAAAGTAGATTTAAATAAAAAAACATAAAAAAATAAATAAAATAAAATTTTAAATGCAAGTGATGCATATTAAAACTTAGTTTATACGCAGTACTTCACATTAAAAAATCAATGACAGCAGAGGAGTATTTCGAGTCTTTGTGAATATTATTATGTTCATATACAAAAACTAAAACTCAAATAAAAGTATAACTTAAACAGAATAGAGTTTGAACCAAATTTTAAAAATAAATTTATTGTTTAATTTAGTAAAGAATTATAAAAATATTATTATTTTTATAATATACTAGTAGATATGTTCAGTTCGTGATTTTCAGTATGGGACATCACCTATTACCATTCCTAAATACCGTAACAACAATTCGATTCAGTACGGTTTGGTTCCCTCTCAGTACTTTTTGGGTTTGGTACTTTTTAGTTTGGTATTCACAGTTTTTTTAGAAAACTTTTAAGATCAATTCGTTAAGTGCTCACCCCTGTAAGATTTTTCCATAAAGTCATGAAATAAACATAATTGAATAATGAATACCTAAATAAAAGGTCGGTTCTCATGACATTAGAAATCAATGTCATGGGATGATACGGGGGTCAGGTGCCTCGTTTGTAAAATCGACGATTTCAACCACCCTTAACCCCAAATAAACCCTCCCACCCCGTCCCGACCCAAACACACCCCCGTAAGCCATCTCCTTCTATTGTACGTGTCATGTTAGTTTTGACTTTGGAGTCAAAATTTGACTCCTAAGTCAAAATTAACTTGGGGGTGCAATTGAAGGGGGTAAGTTCGGGTCAGGATGGGGTGTGACACTGTACAATTAGAGTGCCACATTATCACAGTGTAATTGTGCAAATTCGTATTTCAAAAATAAAAATATGAAGCTTTTATTTTGATATTTTCTCTATATTTTTTTCTCCTATTTAGGGTGTTATTACAAACTTTGATTTAAAAAAGTCAAATAAAAAGATTTAAACTAGATTGCGGAGTAAACATATAACTTACCGAGTTAGTTTTAACTACGTAGAATTGAATTAAAAGAGATTTCACAAAATAAACAAGGGTTATTTACCTAAATAGGACTAAAACATAATGACTTTTTCGATCAATATAGCACCATATGTTTTTATTTTTCAATGTAGGACCATTGGTCATTATCTATTAGTCATTATTCAACTAAATGTTCAGCATCACTTGGACATTATTCTTCCTCACTAGTCATTATTAAGTCTTATATAATGATTTAATGATTAAAAAATTCAAGTCCTATATTGGAAAATGACTTATGTTTTAGTCTTATTCAGTACAAATTTCACAATAAACAATCTAGACACCAAAATAGATACTCCCTCCGTTCCACAAAATCTTTCTGGTTTTGATTTATTAAGGGACGAAGGGAGTACTCCCTCCGTCCTAAAACCACCTTCCCGGTTTGACCGGAGGTGGTTTTTAAGAGAGTTTAAAAATTGAGTTGACCTTCCTAAAATACCCCTCAAAACCTTCTTTCTCCCTCTTGACACTGGACCGAAACATGCCTAATTTAAACCAAAAACACTGGCGATGTTGTCTTCTTTCAATACACACAGAGGCATGTTTCTAAAACAAAATCAAAAATCAAAATTCCAGCTAAACAAATTTAAATAAAATAAATTATGAAATTAGTCCAAGCAACGAGATGAAGGCAGATTTGGGGGATCTGCTCCCTCTTCACCGAATCTGAAACGGAGTGGCGACGGCGACGGTGGCTGCAGTCTCTCTGTGCGCGGCGAGGTCTGATCGGAAATGGTGGCAGCCTATCTGGCTGCAGTCTCTCTGTGCGCAACGAGATGAAGGCAGATTTGGGGGATCTACTCCCTCTTCACCGTTTTCTTTGTGGCTTACCTGTTCATGGAGGTCTGATCGGCGATGGTGGAGCGAAGATGCGATCTATGTCTTTAGGAAGAGAAACGATTAGATCTGGATATTAAGAGAGAGAAAGAGAGAAGAAGAAGATGATTAGATATAGATTTTGAGGGTTGGGAGAGAGACGGAGGAGAGAAGCAGCTGAGGATGAAGAGAGACCAGAGTGATGGTTAACAGATCCGGCCAGTAGGTTGAGAGAGTTGAGGCCTGAGGGAGGGATAAAATAGTCAATTCATACATTTTTTTAAGAAGTGGGTAGGTAGTTTAGGACGAAGAAAAAAAGGAAGTGGAAAGATGGTTTTAGGACGGAGGGAGTAATTTATAGAGAGTATTTAACAACTTCTAAAAAATTGTTGATTAAATTGTGACGCCCTTTGAGTAATAAGAATTAGTATTACATATTTAAAAAAAATGATATTACATTGTACCCTGTAACAAACAATTCTTGAAAAAAAAAATTGCTTGGGAGATGAGATGGGCAAAGATGAGTTGAGAGATGAAACAAGAACGAATAGTGATCTGCAGTTCATGGCCTGTCGGAAAAGAAACGGTTGATCGCCGGCATGACTTCCGGGCGGCGAGTCCGGAGAAATTGGCGGAAGCTGTGCTCTGCGTACTTCTCCCCCTCCTTTTGGTTCTCCAGCACCGCCGTCGTCCGGTGAGCTTTATTCACCCTACGCATTTCCATTTCAATTAAAATGAGATCTTTTTTCGGATACACAATTGCTTAAATTTTAAATAAAAAAATTAACAAATTTGTTGAGAAAGTCTACTTATTAGAGTACAAAAGTCTAATTTCATTTAGGGCATGATCTTAATCAAAATCATATAAAAAGTTAGATCAAATTAGAAAAGTTTTGGAGCAGAGAATGATTTGGATTTGATGAGACCAGATATACATACCGACAACAATTCTATGTGCAGCTAAATAATTACTATTTTTAAAAATATTTTTTTCATCCATCCCAAAAATACTTTGAATTTTCCTTTTTCCATTGGTGTTACTGTTATCGTTTTTTGATAATTCTTATATGCTTTCATTGATAATTCGATAAAATAAAATATTTTTGTCACCTGTTATTTTATAGATTTTTATGTACTTTTGAATATTGTAATTTATACGAATTATTTTTATTTCTATATCAATTTATAATTAAAATAATTTTAAAAAATGATCTGACGACATCTATTATAAAACCGAATTGAAAGAGCAAAAAAAATATATGGCTCAAAAAGTTTTTGTTTCCTTTTTAACAATTCTAACAAATTTTTTTCTAGTTTTGGACTTATTTCATGCATAAATTAGGTAGTCTGCTTAATTACCTGACTTCAGGATTGGTCAACAAGTTTCGAGCTAGTTGGAAACCACACAAGCCAACCACAAATGTGATTGGAGCCAAAAGAGGGAAGACCTGCATCATAATTTGTCACCCACAATTTATATAAGAACAAATATATATTACACTCTTAAATTTTATCACACTTTTCCATTAACAAATGTTTTTTTAAAAAAGAAGATTAATTCCATCTTAAACTCTCGGAGGGTTCGTTTACAATGTAGTATCTGTTTACAATTTTTTAAATGTAATGACGTATAAAAAAATCAATGTTTCCGCCTCTAGTGAGGCTCAAACCGAAGTGAACTTTCTCATGAATCTTGGAAAGTGAACTTCATAATTACCACTTAAACCAAGGGAGAAGTTTACTCGTGCAGAATACTTATTAGCATTTGAATCATTTTTCATAGATTAAATTAACTTTAAAATGTTAACACCATGTTTGGTTCAATGGTTTCCCATCATTTTCTCACCAAAATAGGAGGAATTTAGTTTACCTTTCTCTTAGTACATTTTTTCTTCTCATTTTTTTTCTTTTTTCTTTCAAATTCTTTGAACCAGATATAATATAAATAAATATTTTAAATACTCCAGACTAGAGCTAAACCTGAAAATTGTTACCAAAGACATGCGGCGTATTAAACAAAACATTAAAGCTAAAATAATTAATAATCCGCCCTTCCAAATAAAATTATGGTCCTATTTCGAGCAAGTGCAAAATCACATTATGTTAAAAAAAATTCTTAGATATTAGTAAGTAAAACAAAGTATAACTTAGATATTTAAAAATTAGATCAAAAGATTTACAAATAAGTGGTTAAACGCCTATGTGAAATGATTAAAGAGAATCACACATGCAAACAAAAGTTATAAAAAATCTAGAATAGTAAACTTGGCATAATTTTTAGAGTGAGTGAGTATCAAACTAATTAATCACTTCATCGCTTTGAAAAAACTATTAACTAATAAAATTATTAACGAGTGTGCTTTTTAATTAAAAAAAAGAAAGAGAAAAGATTTACTAACCTCAGGTTTCACCCAACGTCCCATGGTACAACTTTAACTTGTTAGGGGTAAATTAAATTAAATCTGAACAAATTAAAAGATCGAAAAACAGGAAATAAATAAATGGTTTAATTTGAATGATCAAAATAATAAACCTTTTGCTTATTGCTTGGTTGGCTATTTGGTTGAATTTTAGCTGTGCCTTATATATATGTGTGTGAGTATAGATTCATGTAGATAAATTTATTGGAAAAGTATGGGTAATAACTAAGTTTTTTTTTGAATACGTGTTTGATGAATTATTCAACGCGCAAAGTTTTATACTTTGTGAAAAAACCAGGTGCTAAGCCCCTTGGTTTTTTTGATGGGATAATAATAATAATAGTAAAACAAATGAATTATAATGAATTGTTTTGACATATGTATGCCAAGGAACATTTCCAATTAAGGTGTCTTCGTCAACAATTTTTTTTTTTTAAAAAATACTCCCTCCGTTTGCAAAAAAGGTTCCTATTTTGACTTGGAGCCAAAATAAGGAAGTGTAAAATTATAGTTGACTTCCAATTTTGCCCCTGATGTGATAGGTAAAAGTAAGATGTGATGGATTGGTTATTAGAGAAAAAATATGATGTGATAGGTAGGGTATGAAAAAGTAAGTGTAAAAGTGGTTTTTTAATAGAAAGTGGAAGTGTTTTGTTGGAAGTGAAAAAAATGAAAGAGGAAGTGTTTTTGAAAACGGAGGGAGTATATAGCAAAGGAACCACCCTTTGTTGACCAGAAGATTTGACCTATAATATATTTTTTTGTAACAAAAAAGTTTGACAGCAAGTGTATCAATAACATGTTATGCGTATATATAGTAGCCATGGTTCCGGTCCGGTTCATGGTCCTAATTTCTTTAAATACGAAATTATAATATTATATGCTAAAAGAGATTATATAATAATTTAGTTGTTATTTAAATAATGAAAGTTGGATCCTACAACTACATATACTGCCCTGAGAATTCAAAAAAAAACGACGATGTAAAGAACTGTAAAAAAAACTCTTAAAAGAACTTATAAATCGCTCACTTAAAAAATAATTACAATTTCTGTAGTATCGAAACTGATACAGAAACGTACAGTGTCCAAGGCTAGTCACATACAAGAAGATGTCGACAATGATTGTGGTGACAGATGTTAACATTTTACAAAAACAAGTGGTGACATTATGCATATTTTATTTTATCAAATTATTAATGAAATTGTATACGCGTGCAAATAAATATAATCATAAACCTCAAAAAAATAAAGAAGACGATAATTTAAGAATGGTGGAAGCATTTAATACTCTCTACTCTGTATTACGGAGTATTTAGTACTCCCAACAAAAATTGGTACAATAAATAATATTGAGTGATGTTATAGTCACAAGCAACATGAACACAAACTATACAAATTTATCATTTATGTATTTAAATTACTGAGATGCACAAATGACAAATTTGTATAGTTTTTTATTAAGATATTTGTGACTTTAACATCTTCTCAACAACATATTTTGAACACAATGTCATCAATTACACGGCCAAAGTCTTATTTAGAAGATCAAAACTATATGAAGTCTAATTTTGATATTTTGATTGAATTCTACTCCCATCTAAGGTCTTGTTTGGGAACAACATTTTTATATTAGCGTTAGCGTTTTGGATTAAACTCTAATGGTAGAGATTAATTCTGAAAACGCTAACGCTAAAAACTACCGTTAGATAACATTTTCAAAACTCTAACACTAATCTCTAACGGTGATTGGCCAAACAGGGTCAGGGTCTAAGACATTCCTTTGAAACAAAATATGGTTGGCCATTGACTTGTTTGGAAGCCACTTATTACTGCAAGCATGATAGTTGGAATGTTGCACTCCTATCCTAAATTTTCAGCATGAATTTGTCCCCAACCAAACTGTCCCTCCTTTGCTTCAAGATTCAGACATCTCACGTAGAAATATAATCCCTCGCACATCTAAAACAAAATTTACATTTTCTATTTTTGAATATCTTAACATATACACCATTCGTTCCGGAGTATTTATCCACTTTTAACTTTTTTCGGTCAAAATTTGTAGATTTTGACTCCAGATTAAATAAGAATGATATTACAAAAATAATTTGATTACATTTATTATATAAAATATTTTCAAAATATTATTTTATGTAATTAATATACAATATATATTTTATTAAATTATAGATCAAAGGTTGAAAAAGGTTGATCGAAAAAATTCAAAATTTGATAAATACTCTGAAACGGAAATAGTATTTTGTACTCCCTGTCACGATTCAAACTCGAGTCTATTTCCGTGACACAATATTTCAACCAAAATTGATATTACAAAATGATGATATGTCAAAATTAAAGAGATCCATCACTCTCCCTCACTGCCTTTTCCATACCTCTCTTTTTTTTCTACCAACCAACAACCAGTTTGGTATGTGATAGAAAATACCATCTTACAGTTGCATTTAACTAACTAATCAAAATCCCATTTCTTGACAAAGGCCAATGCCACACAACATGAAAACTCTCATTTCACTTTGCATCTTCTTCATGTTCTTTCCTCATGGAGGTTAGCCTTTAATTCACTGCATGTTTCATATTCCTTTACATATTGTTCATGTAAAATAAAACCAAGCATAAGAAAATAACTTCATGTGTCATTTTGTTTCTTTTGATATCCAAACAAATCCTTAAGGTTTATGGCTTAATTTGTAGGGGCATATGATCCCTTGGATCCGACCGGGAATATCACGGTAAAATGGGATGTAATGTCGTGGACACCCGATGGCTATGTTGTAAGCTAGCACTCTTTGACTATTGTGTATTTACTATATTTGATTTATTCCATGTGTTATTCGTGTTGTTTGAGATGTTCGAGGTTATTGGATGACTGACATGAAATACTATACGTACAGGCAACCGTGATGATAAACAATTTTCAAATGTATAGACATATTTTGAGCCCGGGGTGGACCCTGGGCTGGACGTGGGCTAAGAACGAAGTCATCTGGTCCATGGTGGGTGCGCAGACCACGGACCAAGGTGACTGCTCCAAGTTCAAAGCCGCGATACCACATTGCTGCAAGAAGAGCCCCAGTGTGGTGGACTTGCTTCCTGGGGTGCCCTACAACCAGCAGTTCTCAAATTGTTGTAAAGGTGGGGTCTTGGCTTCTTGGGGCCAAGATTCGCAGTCGTCTGTCTCTGCATTTCAGGTCAGTGTCGGCCAGGCGGGAACCTCCAACAAGACCGTTAGAGTCCCTAAGAACTTCACCTTGCTTGGCCCGGGACCGGGATACACTTGTGGCCCTGCAAAGATAGTCCCATCTACTAAATTTTTGACTTCGGATCGTAGGCGAAACACACAAGCCCTTAGTAAGTACTATTTCTTCAGTGTCATATCAAGCCATTTATGGGACTATTTCTTCAGTGTCATATCAAGCCATTTATGGATTTTGTGCTCGTTTGGTATGGCTTAAAATGAAACGAATTGTTGATTAGACTAAGTATATTGCTAGATTGGTTGAACGTGTAGACTAACAAACATCTCTCACGTGTTTCTAACTCAATTTTAGAACAAAGATTTTGTGAATTGAACTCAAAGTGACCAACTAAAAATCATTCAAATCTAGCCGAGCCTAAATCCGACCCTCTAAGATTTAAGTAAAAGAAAAAAGAAATTCAAAATCATGGACTTTGGTATGAATAAAAATTGACAAATCGTTTTATCATATGTGTTTTTTTCTTTCTACTCCATTTTATTGTGTAAACATAACCTTTCCAGTGACGCTGTATTGTCATTAGGTTTTTTTCTTTTTTATATATTTAAAAATTTTATTTAATTTGTAATATTGTAGTACGTCTGAATAGTAGTAAAATTCTAAACGAAAATAGTATTATTTTAACTGATACAAATTGCGTAGTATAAATTGTTAGTATTTTCTTAAATTTTACATAGTATAAATTGATACTTTCTTAATTTTATGTGAAATAAATATAAGTGTTATTATAAATATAAACATTTCAAAAATAAACACACCTAATATATTAAATCAAGCCAAACATAATGACTCTATATCATGAACTGAGTATGTTCTCATCTGAACTCGACCTAACCCAAATCTGGAGTAACCTCAATTAAAGAGATTCAAATGTTAACTTAACCAACCTATTTGTCATCCCTAGTCAAATTTATTGAATTATCTAAAGGGTGTGATGCTTTCGGTACTGATATTAGGTGTCAAGATATGATATTATGTCATTTGGATGTTTAATTTCACTTTATGATCCATCCTTCATAAATTTTCAACCTAATACTTTGGTTTTTTATTATCCTTTTCTGCAGTGACATGGAATGTGACATGCACATATTCACAATTTCTAGCACGTAAGCATCCGAGTTGCTGTGTTTCGCTCTCGACGTTTTACAACGAAACCATAACCCCGTGCCCGCATTGTGCTTGCGGTTGTGAAAATCGAAACAAGTGCATCAAGTAAGGCACATAACTTTAAGAGCTAAGGCTTGTTCTCTTCACCTTATATGATTGTGGAATGAGTCCTCATCTGATCTGATTTGATCGTAGTTATATTTAAAGTTTTTCTAATATAATAGTCTGATCTGATTTGATTTCAATAAGAACAAGTAATAAGAACAAATTGAATTGGGATTGATCACATACAGGAAGGACTCACAAATGCTAAGAATGGTTGGGGTAAACACGCCGAGGAAAGACAATTCACCTTTGTTGCAGTGCACACAACATATGTGCCCTATAAGAGTTCATTGGCATGTGAAGATCAACTACAAAGAATACTGGCGTGTGAAGATCTCTATAACAAACTTCAACTATAGAATGAACTATACGATGTGGACTCTCGTTGTTCAACACCCTAATCTCAATAACGTGACACAGGTTTTCAGCTTTGATTACAAACCGCTCATCACCTATGGATCTATCAGTAAGCACTTTCCAAATAAAACCTTACTTTTGTGAGATTTTACTCGGTTTGTTGTTATAGTTTGAGAATCTCCTCCAGATCCAGGCAGAGGAAAGATATGAACTAATTGATCTTTTTATGATTGCAGATGACACAGGGATGTTCTATGGGATGAAGTTCTTCAATGACTTGTTAATGGAAGCTGGGGAGTATGGGAATGTCCAGTCAGAGGTTCTTCTGCAGAAAGATAAGGACAGATTCACCTTCAAACAAGGGTGGGGGTTTCCCAGGAAGGTTTACTTCAATGGAGATGAGTGCATGTTGCCGCCACCTGATACTTACCCCTATCTACCCAACTCTGCCCCCTGCCGAAACCTACTCCTCTTCTCACCATTAAGTTATGCAAGTCTTTGGCTGCTTTTTATTTTCTTCTGATCAAAAAACCCTTTTCGTCATATAGAAATTTTAAAGAAGCAATGACCCCGTTTACAGGATTGGATGCGACTTCTATTCCAGAAATGTATTCTGTCTCCAACTGTTGGAGTGTCGCCGCGTGTACTTAGCAATGGCCGGTTAAATACACGCAACGCCAATCCCGCTGCTGAAATAAAAATGGAGTAAAAGTTTGGAATAATAGATCTCATCCCAAATCCCCATGAAGTGGAGGACATGGAGGTATACACTAAAAACTTCAAGTAATGAGAATTTTTGTACCATTACATTACTATGATTGGTTTGAAGAGCACAAAGAAATGAGCTATTCTATGTTAAATTCCTATTTTCCTTTGCTAAGAAAACATGTTCTTTGATTGACAGCTAGATCATAGGGAGTATATGTTAGTATGGTAGACGGTTAGAGGTATTTATCTAAAAAAAGACTAGAGCAAACACTTCTATGCTGCAAAATGGCATAACAAAGCAAATTGTAAAGGTTCTTGTTCATATAAATCAACTTTAAGTAATCAAAGAGGTATAAGACATACTCAAAATCTTCTTGAGGGATTTGAACTGCTTGAGATCAATAAGATTCTGTGAAGATGCATTTCAACTGATAATGGGATAATGGGATCATTCATCTACTCTACCAGTCTCTTCCTCTTCCTCTTCAGCATAAGAATCACTGTGGGCATTATCCAATGTCCCCTCCTCGTGATCATCGCTGTCATCCTCCTCCTCTTCATAGCCATGTTTCTCATCCTTTTGTTTTGAGATCATTGCATCATTATGATCATGAGTATAGCCATCACATTGCTCAGTTGGTGATTCTGGGACTAGCTCGCCCACCTTGTCATTTTGACACGTGGATTTTCCTGAACTTAAAGATTTTCCTTTGTTCATCTGTTCAAAGACAAACCACACAGAACAAACTCAAAAGCAATAAATGAAATATTTAAATGTCTGTTACATAGAAGAATTTAAAAAATCTGACTTATGTTGTGATCAGGTCATATGTTCCAAAGTCATGTGCACAGATGTTTCTATTATGCATTTATGCCAGTTAATGAAGTTGAATCGCACGACATAAAAATCTTTAAAATGTGTATGCAAAGAATCTGAATCCTTATTGTGTGCCTTACAGATCGTAGTAGGCTCCTCCTATCCCGCTCACGAGCATTTTTTATTGCCTGCAAGCAAAAAAGAATCTTTTTAGATTCTTTTGTATCTTGCCAAGAACTAGTTGCCAAGGCAGTTCTGATGCATTGGATATTGCCAGTGGCAAGATCATTCCGAAACCACTAGAAATAAATTAAAGCGAGTTTGCAAATCAAAAAAGCCGATGTGCTAAAAAAGATTAATAAGGAAACATGAACCTCTTCAAGGATCTTCTTCTCAGCCTCTACTTCTGATAAATCTCTGCAAATCAATGAACAACTACAATTAGAATGTTTTTCACCAGCATAAGCAAAGGTGAACAGATTGAATGCATCAATGGCTGACAAATTAAAAATCCAAATAACAAATGTTTCTCAAAAAAAAGAGAAACTGAAACCTTCCAATGATATGGCTAACTTGACAGGAACACTTGGCGCATACGTTATGCTCCTTCGCACAAGCTGTACATACAGGATAACAGTACAACGAGATTTTTAGAGGATCATTACAGCCTCTGTTGAAAGAAATGCAATAATTATAGAAGCTAACCATTGCAGATGTTGTGGTAAGCTTGGCGAACATTCCTTTTTGAACACTTCTGGCTGTTAAAAATCAATATTTTGCAGATCAGTTTATCAGAACATTAAAAGGGTTGATATCAGTGTGCTGATTAAGAACACATGCAACTAACGCAAGTGGCCATATATATAATATATCTGCATGTGTAAGGTATTTGTAGAATTAGTGCAATGTAAATTTATCTCATATATGCATAAGAGAGATAAAACAATCAATGATCAAACAATGCACGGTGACTTCAGAACACAATAATTAACACAGAAGTCATAGCTTAAAAAGGATCAAACAAGCCATAATAGGTATTTCATCAAGGTACAGCTTCTAAATTTTGCCTAAGGTACAACCATCATAAAACATGATACAGTAATTAGCTCATTTTCATTCAATAAGACCCTTCTCCGGGGGGCAATAGTGTGTCAAGAAACTGGCCTCTTTTTATGGGCCGAGGAGGGAGTACAAGCCTAAGTGTGATAACTTCTCACTATGATTTCTGTTTCAAATGTTCTGAGCAAGCTTATCTCAGTGTGTAGTATTAGTTCACCTATAACCAATTAAGCAAATGTTTAATAGTCTTTTGTTGATTTTATCATGTGATAATCATTTTCCATTGAAATACATGTGAGTTTGGTGTAAGGAAATGGAGTACAAAAAAGGATAATCCTAAGCATCTATACAACAGATTGCGGAAATGGATGATAAAACTAGAGAGGTTAGGGTTACCATTTGGCAGGCTCAGTAAGGGGCTTGTACTTGCCATACTTGCGCTTCCAGTCAATCTGGCCCTTGCAGCGCGCGCAAACGCCGGTAATCTCTGAGTAAGGCTTGAACCTCCCTCCTAGTTCCGATTCGTTGATCTTCTTCCCGGCGTTAGGCTTCCACGCGAAACTGTTCTGGTGCTTCGGCGGCCCCTTCCTTCCGCCGCCGCAGCTCATCCTTCTTCTTCTTCGATTGAATTTCGTATAGGTTTCTGCTCGCCCTCAGCTCTCCTCCCTCTGATAGACTGATACTCTTTTGCACTTTGCAGCTTTGTAATCACAAATAAACCGGACTGGGCTTGTAATGGGTATTGTTTGGGCGGATTGATTCTCAATCGGTTTGGAACCAACTCAAATGTAGACCTGGCAAAAATGACCCGAACCCGATAACCTAAATCGAATAACCTGAAATCAAACCCGAATTGACCCGAAAATTGAAGAACCAAATTAGAACCGAACACCCGAAATGATCTGAACCGAACCGAACCCGAACCGAACGTATTCAGACTCGATTCAGACCCGAATCCGATTATACCCGAATCGATTATACCTGAACCCGGTTAAACCCGAACCCGATTAAACTCGAAACCGATTAGACCCGAAATTGATCAAATTCATTAATATTTCATTTATCAAATGAATTTGGAGAATTACATATGTTGACGTGTTTATAAAAAATATATTTATATTATGGGTGCAAACCATGTAACCACTTTCATGTACTCCCTCCGTCCCAAAAAGTTTGTTACGTTAAGAAAAAACTGTGTCCCGTAAAGTCCGTTACATTTCTATTAAAAAACCACTTTTACCCCTTACTTTTTCATACCCTACTTATCACATCATACCTTTTTTCCAATAATCTACTCATCACATCCTACTTTTACCCATCACATCAAGGATATTTTTGGAAAGTCAATACCAAAATATCCCTTCCTTAATTTCCCAACAAGTCAAACCGTCTCATTCTTTTTGGGACGGAGGGAGTACAAATCTTTTACTTTGTATTTTATAACTTAAGTTAAATATTTTTGTATTTTTTATAGAAAGTATATAAAAATTATAGTTAACTAAATTAACTAAATTTATTATGTGATATTATTCATTTATTAGTATGTGTTTACATTATACTTGAACTAATATAAATTTAAACCAATATTAACTCAAATCTATATAAACCCAAGTCAATACAACACGAATTGATACAAATCTGATCCGATATAAACCTGAACCGATACAAACCCGAACCGATATAAACCCGAACCGATACAAACCCGAACCGATATAAACCCGAACCGAAATCGAACCGAAACTGAAAACCAATCAAACCGAAATAAACCCGGAACCGAACTGACCCGACCCGAACTGATTATAACATATATCCGAAAGAGACTCGAATCAAAAAGATCCAAACCGGAACCGAACCGATTGACCCGATTGCCAGGTCTACTATATTGTATATGTTGCTCCGTTCGAAAAATATTTTATCATTTGCATTGCACTTGTACCCTCCAAGCCCTCCTCCTATCCCTATCATCCTTTCGTCGATTGCCAATTGAGGTAGCGGACGGGAGACAAAAGAAACCAAAATCCACCAAACCCCGTCTCGTGTCAATCTTTAATTCACTCTAATGGGTCTAAACTCAATATTGACTAATCGGAATGATCAGTGCAACTTTTGGAGTGACCGACTAATTTACATTGGTTGTTTATCCTAAGTATATCATCGGATTATTTTCAATGTGCATGTTAGGCAAAAGTTTGATGCTTTTGAGATTGACTTGCCATCATGGCGACCTCCCATCAAGCTAAATAGAAAAACTTGTAACACCACTTGACATTGGAGCTCTGTTTAGCTAACATCTCAGCAAATCTCATGTGTCGTTAAATGCCAGCGTAAATTATATATTATACGGTAATTAGCTGATTCGATAATGACTGACTTTGCATAGAGATATTCTATGGTGTATCTAAAGTTGCTATAGACCTTCATACACATTTTTTTATTTTTTTAAAAAAATGGTTACCTAAACACATGAAAAACCTTTGTCTGGCACATTGCCACAAAAAAAGGTTTCACATTTTTCTTATATAAAAAATAGAATAAAATCATATTCAAAATTATCTAAAAAATGACTTTTGAAAAGTCATAATGCAATATAAATTTAAATCATGAAATATTATTTATCTTTAATCAAGAAAAGTATTCATCACGCTTCATAGGAAGAAGTATCATATTTTACCGTCTTAATCATGATGGGTATAGTATGATCTTGTTCTTTGAGATTTAATTTTTCCAGCCATTAAATCTAATATTTAAAATGAGTTAAATAAAACAAGTCTTAGGCCCCGTTCGGTACACGAAATTCAAACTGTGAAATTGGAATTGAGGACTTCAATTCCAATTCTCGTGTTTGGTAGCACAAAAATTATGTGGATTTGGAATTGGTAGTGCAAAAAATGAATTGGAATTGGTGAATTCAATTCTATGGAATTGAATTCCATGGAATTTTAATTCCAATTCAATTCCAATTCCATCAATTCCTTGTACCAAACGGACCCTTATACTTTACCGAATTTGTACTATTTGAAGGTCAAAAAATAATTTTCAGTGCATCTTTAAAGTAAATTAATGGATATGGTCAACAGGATTTTCTCTTTAATTTTTTTTTAAAAATCTAGGCAAACACTTTTCATTTTCACCATCTTTAATTTATTTAAAAATCAAAATTTGTAAATTGTTTGGGATTGCAAATTTATTTGGGGTTTAGTTAACCAGGGGTATCTTCGTCAACCCCGCTTGTTTGTGAGATGCTGTATGCGTCGCCCGCCCTATATATATCTAACATCGATAAATTAGGGTTTGTGAATCCGCCACTTTCGAGAGAGCTCCGTCGCCGACGTCCGATCAAGCAGAAGCGAAAATGGTATTTGGATCTTCCTTTCCTTCGCATACGAGTAATCGATTTTGATTTCATTTATTTCTCATCAATTCATGAAATCCGCAGCCGTCGCACAAGACGTTCATGATCAAGAAGAAGCTGGCGAAGAAGCAGAGGCAGAACAGGCCGATTCCGTACTGGATCCGGATGCGCACCGACAACACCATCCGCTACAACGCCAAGCGCCGCCATTGGCGCCGCACCAAGCTCGGGTTCTGAGGATGCTTCCCTGCCAGCGCAATCAGCGCTCGATCTGCAGAAACCTTGTTTGTTTTCATGCCTCTCATTCTGAAAATCTGGAACTCTGTTTTTAGTTTTTGAATCGTTTTTATTGCTTTCTGTTTTATCAGTATTATTATTAACATGTAAGACCTGGTTATTAAGGAATCATTTTGATGATTACTGCTCCTTAATTAGTTTTTTTGAAGAGTCGAGAAGGTTTTCTTCCATCATTTCTGTTGGGTTTGTCTTCTATGTAAGGATCATGTTTGGTGTACACCAGAGTTTTACATCAAAATTACACCATTATTTGTTTGCAATTCACATACAAAATTGTCTGTTTTGCTCACATATGACTAGGCAAGTGTTGTTTGTCTCATACGAATTTTGAATGTGAAGTGGGAAAAAATGAAATGTTTTAACTTGGTTATCTTTTTTGGTGTACAAATAGTTTAATCCCCTATATCAGATCCCAATTCCTTTGGTATCCCCTATATGCTTTGAATGAAGCACTTGATGAAATGGATGGCCTTTTGTGTGTATTTCGATACATAACGTTCACAAACAAGCCTGTTTTGTTTGTGTAACATGTTTGTGTTAAGTTTATATAGTTTAAAATTTGGATGGTCTACATTTGGTGTCATCTAGCATGGTTGTACTTGAAACCTTGGATTAGAAAATTATAACAAGTTTTGTTGAGTTGGGATTTGAAAACGTATAGATCCGACCTGAAATTTGATTTGCCTGCTTGCACAATAATTTTTTTGTTAGCTCATAACCCTAAGTTTCATAACTATTTATGTACAACACCCACCAAACCCAACATTATTTGTGGAGGAACTCAACATTATCTTTCATTTTCCTCGCCAAAATAGAAAGATTTTGGTTCCTTCCCTTTTGGGGGTGTATTCAACATAGAGTTTGTATGATTTTTTTTGTATTCCAAGAGTCTAGGTATTCAATTAGGATTTCAGTCTTTTAGAATTTTAGTGTATTCAATTTAGAATTTAAAATTCTCATCTAAATCTATTGATATTAAAACTTCAATTGATTTTCTAAGGTTTTTAGAAATGATGGATTATGAAGGATTTTAAGATATGTAGTATAAATAAAAGTTAGTTAACACAAATCTTTATACCAGCATACAAATTTTGAGAAATTAGTCCATGGAAAATGGAAAAGTTGCCCCAGCATACGGAGCTTGACACTAGGCTACCAATTGGTGTATCTCAAATGTTACGGAATTCCCATTTTTGCAATTCTGAATTTATTTTTTTGACACATGTGAATGCCTATTAATGAAATCTTTTCCTATTGAATGAGTTTGATTCTTGATTGAATGTTGGTTCTTTCATGAAACTAGCTAGTTCAAATTGGACTAGTTTATTCATGAAAGTTGTCAGCCTACTATTTCCATTGGTCTATCAAAAGCCACACACTTATCCATAAACTTTTATAGACCGGTGAAAATAGTAGGCTGATAACTTTTCAACTAATTCATTTAAATTATACTCCCCTCATCCACGAATAAACTTTACATTACGCGTTACAATGTTTGACTGAAGTTATTTTTAAATCATTTTATATGAAAAATGGTATAGAATTGAAAAATAAAAATTACATATTAAAAACTATATCAAAAGATCTACAAAACTAGAGGTGACATGACTATATTATTTTATCAAATGGGTGACGAAAATAGGCCAACAAAGTGAATAAAGTTTGACCATGTGAATAGTGAACGTAAAATTTATTTGTGGAAGGAGAGAGTAAATCAAATCAAAGTGAAGATTTGCATTGAAGGTACTACATGGTATTTGATTTGCAAATCTTTTGAGTCCTATGCCTAGAAGTTGCATCGAGCCATGTAATAAGTGAAAGAGAGAGCTGACAGCAACAACATCAAATCAGGGTACAACCCACACATTAAATGTAATACAATATTAATTACTATGCTCACAATATAAATAGACTTAAATTAACATTTTTAATGTCCACTATCCAGGACATACTTCTTCAACTTCAAGGTTTGCAACTTCATCTTCTTTGTATTATTAATTGTTCTTTCTCTTAGATAAATTCTTTTTTACTCTTCCTTTCTCTGCATTATGTGGTATAATTTGTTGTTTATCAGTTTGTATGTTGTTTTCCTAGTGTGTCCTTTAAGTTCACCAAAGAAGCGCTCTAGAACCAAAAGAAGTGACCATATGATAACATCTACTGCTATATGACTAATAAGGTCATGTTCTTTTCACCTGATCTGATTGGTTCTGATCTAGTTAGAATAAGTTTTGATCAAATCTCATCTGATTTGATTTGATTGTAGTTATATTTAAAGTTCTTTTTATCTAATATGGTTTGATCGAATTCTAATAAAAATAAGTTGAGAAGAACATGACCTAAATGACCATTATCTAAGTTTTAGAGTATTTAATATACTTTTGGAGTATATAAGTACGACCAAAAGTCAAGTGGATCCCTCATGGGTATTCTATAATCTATAACTACACTACTACCCTAATATCGGCTCAAATGCTTGCAAGGATAAAAAATGTAGATGTTCTTTAAGTAAATGAACAAGAGTTAGGGGCTGTTTGTTTCAGCATCTTAATGGTTCAGCACTTAATGGTTCAGATTGTTTGTCTCTTAATGGTTCAGATGTCTAAATGGTTCAGACATTTGCCTCTGAATGGTTAAATATTATACATAGTCTGAATGGTTAAAACCTCTTATCTGAATTGATCAGACATTTGCCTCTGAATAGTTAAACAATATACTAGCTCTTAATGGCTCAGACCCTCTTACTGGTTCAGCACTTAATGGTTCAGACCTCTTACTGGTTCAGCAATTACCTATTCAGAAGTTGCCAAAGAGCCCTTAATCTCTTTTTTTAAAGGCAATGAGAATAAAACCCAAACTTAGTCCCCATGTCTCAAAACTAACTACTCCTTGCATTGTTTGAATCCGCAGAATTCAAGAAAAATGTGAAAAAAGTGTTAAGGAGATAATTTTGAACCTTTGATTTATATAATACTTACAGTGTTTATATGAAATAACTTTGATCAAATGTTCTCATCTGTTGAAGTAAAAATTTGCGGATAATTTATATGAAATCCCTTTGATCAATGAGAAGTTTTTTCGATTTTGTGGCAGTATGTGAATATTTGTCCCAATGCATCTTTTGAGGGTTTTGAATTTTGTGCAACACTATGTATCATAATCTAGCTACCATGTAAAGAATTCATGTTAAGTACTCCCTCCATTCCAATTTAGGTCAGATGTTTAATATTTACACGATCAAATTTTATTTATTTTATTTCCCTAATTTTGTTACTCGTTTTTCATAAATAATATAATTATGTCATTTCTTATTTTGTAGACTTTTGATGTAATTTTTTAATAACAATATTTCATTTTTTAATTTTGCTCTAATTTTCAAAAAAATTGTATCAAAAATAACTTTAGTCAAACATCATAAATTGAAACAGCGATTTAAATTGGAATTTGGAAAGTACTTCAAAAATGCAATATGAAACATGTATAGGTTGATGGGCATTCCACAACTGATGATGAAGCCGAATGATGAAGTTGAAGACAATGAAAAGCTGGTTTTTTGTAGTTTTTTTGCCAACAGTTTAAAAAGTAATTATTTTGTCAAAGGTACTTGTGGGTATTGTTAACAGTTTTCATAAACGACATCAACAGTTTATAAAAGTAATTATTTTGTCAAACGTCATTTACCTACTTTATTACTCCTGATACTGTATATGACTTGGTTTTGGATTTAACCCATTTTGAATCTAATAAGTTTCAAGTATAATCTCTTTCGAATTTAAAGAGTTTTAGAATTCATTTGTTTAGATCCAATTGGATTCAGATCTATATAATATATGAATTAATTTGGCTCAATTTGGGTTTGGTTAGATTCATTTCGAGTCTTTGGTTGTAAATCAAATTTTCAATTTCCAAGTCATTTCAGACTCAATTCTAAATCATTCTATCCGAGCAATCAATTTCCATTTTGTATTGTTACGTCTACTTACAATGGCTAATTCACAAAGAACAAATCTTTGAAGCAAAATGGTGCAAAGATCGGAGTTGCCCCTTGACAAAGACATGGTGCTGTTCTTTGTTCGTTTGCGGAACCAATTGGCCAATGCCATTAACAATGACGATACAAGTATGTCCCGACCCAACGCCAAAGATAAAATAAAATAAAGTAAAAAGCATACACTCACAAAGGTTATTGTCCTTTAGACTTGTGAGCATTCATCAAAATGCCAATGGAATTAGAGAATACGCCAAGAAGGAACAAGTTTCAACAATGCAACAACATTTATCAATCTCACACTTGAAATCAATTACAAAATGCATCAAATACAACACCCAATGAACCAAAAGCATTACATTTGTTTTTACTCAAGTTCAGAATTCAGATATTCAAAACACTTATATTCTTGATTGATGGGCAAAGAGATAAGAGAGAGAGAGAGTAGTACTCTCACAAGAAACTCGTGTTCTTCAGCTCTTATTGTCTGCACCACCAAATAGATAACCAAGGGAAGAGCCACCACCTGGTGCAGCTTGAACCTTGGTTGATCGCCTATCCTGCAATCATAACAGAGATCAATTATACACCTTTGCTCATAGAAAGAAAAAAAAGATGTTCCGAAAAAAGGGAAGTCGAGTTTCTTGGTTGGATGTGCCTCAAATTTTTCATTTCTTAATTTACCCCTCCGATGTTAAAACAAAATACTGCTCCTACATATAGGAAAATGTTAACTTTACAATGGGTAAAACGATAAATACAAACGAAATTAACTCGTTCAACTTTCAACCAACCTATAAAATTCCTGCCTAACCATGCCTAGACTTTGCTATGGCAAGCACTCCAATTGCTTCTTGATTAGGAGCCGCCAAAGTAGCCTAGTCTACCACCTAGTGATTTATAGAGCACTAGTTTTGATTAAATAAAAAAATCATTGTTTAATTTGTATGCAAAAATATGGTGGTGTCATTTTTTTCTGTTTATGTTCTTGATAAGATTGCTAATGACAGTTCGTAGGTATATGCCGGTACTTGGGACAAAGAAATGAAACAGAGGCAATAAGATATTATGCTCTTACAGTAAGGAAGTTGCCACAGTTTTGACCATCTGCGCGAATGTAGTTGTTCGCATTGGTACTCTGAATACCAGCAGGAACTTGTTTAAGGTTATCCGTGGGAGCTGGAGTGACCTTTGGAGCAGCAGCCGGTGCAGAGGGATTGTTGGGAACCTTATCCGCAGGAGGGTTCTTCTCGACAACTGGTGCTGCTGGAGCGGTTTTAGGAGGAGCCGCCTCTCCACCACCTCCAAAGAGGTACCCCAAGGAACTCTGCCCACCCCCAGCACTATGTCCACGCTTCATCATCCCAAATTTTTCTTGGTCTCAATACACGATCTCCTGTTATGTACTGCAAACAATCCAAACATGCTTTAAAAGATGATTGAATTATATCAGGATTAAAGCAAAACACTGAACTGGAAAAATTAAAAAGCAGTTGAGAATTGTTAAAAACATTCCGCAATTAAAACAAAATAGAAAATTCAAAGATTGTTTATGCTTCACGTTTATCCATCCATCAACAGAAGTTTCTGTTTATCCATCCATCAACAGAAGCTATAGAGGTTTCAACATGATGCCTATGTTGGGATTTCAAAAAATATGGGTATTACTGCATTAGGAAATTCCTGAAAATTTTCAAATCCTGAAAATCTTAGCAATCACATTTCCCATATAGGGTTAACCTAATTCCTGAAAATCAGTTTGTTTTATGTGGCCTTAAGCGTTATTTTATCTGATCCTACCCAGTCAAGTAATCCCAAATTTATGCATACTAGGGCCCTGGATCCCCTTCAGTTATTTGGGAAAAAATGTGGGAAACTTACAGTTTCAAATCTAGGAAATTCATGGCTGAGATCAGCCTTCTCTTATGGATAGTTGGATACATGTCCTCTCAAACTAAATTGATCAACATCTAAGATCTCTTCCGTTTTTTTTAAATCTGGACAGGATCCAAGACAGAGAAGGCAGGCCCCGATCCCTTCTTGTTGCTCCATTAATCTCAAAAACTGATCTGACTACTATCCTAAATCCTTTGTAATAATCAAGAAATTCATTAAACCCCCAAATCAAGCCAGTCCAGCCCATATCACTATCTATTTACCAACTTATCAAAACCCTATTGACTTCAGGTCTGATTCAACAAAGCCATGAAGTAACACAAAGATCTCAGATGTTCATTTCTGAAGAAAACAGATCAAACAGACTGAAATTTGGGTTGGGAAAAACATATGGAATCTCATTTTTTTTAAAAAAAAATGAACCATCAGTTCAATCAAGTGATTGAATTTCAGAAACACAGCGCAATCGCGAGATCTAAAACGGAATCAATGAATCCAAACACGAGAAACGAAAACAACAGAGATCTGAGAGCATATAGCGAAATATAGAGAGCGAAAAAGAATCGATTCACAGAGAAGCGAGATGATCAAAGCGAAGAAGGGAGGAGATAGCGATTGCGGGTACGTACCTTTTTCCTGGTGAGAATTGACAAGACGGAGGAGATGTGCGAATGGAAAGAGAAGTGTGTGGGGGAGTTATAAACAGCGCAGTGATGGAGTGGAGAGGCAGATTTTTCACTCCCTCCCAAATTAAATACCATTAAATTTATTTAAATAATAATACCATATTATATACATAAAATTTCATAATTAGTTCTTTTATAATATATGAGTTTCCATATTTAGTTTTGTATTATCAAATATTACTCTTATAGTCCTTTTTTAAGAGTGTCTTTCCACTCATGGTCCTTATTCTGATCTTCCGTCATGTGGGTGTTAACTTAAAAAATAAAAGTATAATTTGACATCAACATTATGTCTAGTGACGTGTTCTCATATTAGTTAAGCGAATAACACAAAAATAATGACTATGATTGTAGGCTAATATTCTGATAGAAGACCACATTTGCAGACTATAATTGTAGTAGAAATTGAATGTAATTCAGAAATGATGCAAACGGAACAACCTTTGGAATTGTGTATGACAAAAATGATATATTATCATTGTAAAATTACACTTTTAGCCCTCAAATTAACTCCAACATGATAGAATATCAAAAAAGACTATTTGTGAAAACATACCCATAAAAGAAGGACCACTGTGGTAATATTTGATAATAGAGCACTAAATAGGGAAATACCTCTGTTATAAAAAACAAATTATGAAATTTACTCTTATATATATATATATATATATATATATATATATATATATATATATATATTATCAATTTCGAGCCTGATTAGTTCCGGGTTTAATTGGTTCAGGTCTAACTGATTCGGGTTCAATCAGATCCGGATCTGAATCGGGTCTGAATATATTGGGTTCATTTTAGGTTATGTTCGGGTCATTTTGGGTATTCAGGTTTAAATTGATTCTTATGTTTACGGGTCATTTCAAATTCGATTTCGAATTATTCGGTTCGAATTATCGGGTCGAGATTAGTTTTGCGAGGTCTACAATAGGGTGACATTTTTTGTTAAAATATATGCACAACAATAGGAGTTGAATAGTACTCCCTCCGTCCCAAATTATAATGCCCATTTACTATTCACAGGGTCAAACTTCATTCACTTTCTTTCTCTATTTTCGTTAGCAATTTGATAAAATAAAATATTATTGTCACTACTAGTTTTGTAGATCTTTTGATGTAGTTTTTTAATATGTAATTTTTATTTTTTAATTCTATACCATTTGTCATATAAAATGATTTGAAAATAATTTTAGTCAAACATTGTAAACCGAAACAGGCGTTATAAAATGGGACGGAGGTAGTATTGTACAAGAGTAGGAATAACTGAAATGCAAATACAAAAGTGTAAAGAAAAGACACGTATGGAATATATTTTTATGAAGTTCACAGTTAGTAAATTTGTGAATTTTGTGATAATTTTGTTTGTAAACCTAGCAATTCTCTATTTTTATTTTCGTTCTCCACACTTATGACTAGTTTAATTTTTGGGTAATTTACCTAAATAGGACTAAAACATAATGAGTTTCTCAATATAGGATTATATGTTTTTATTTCCAAATGTAAGACCATTGGTCATTATCTATTAGTCATTATTCAACTAAATATTCAGCATCACTTGGACATTATTTTTCTCACTAGTCATTATTAAATCCTATTTAGGGAATAAAAAATTTTAAATCCTACATTGGGAAATGACTTATGTTTTAGTTTTATTCATTGCAAATTTCACTTTAATTTTTGAATGACTCGTTCAACATTCCCAAAGCCCATTATACGCTATCCATAATGAGAACGTGATTTCATTTTAAATTCAAATTTTATCCAAGGGAGAGCACAAAAGGAATTTTATATAAATTTTAATTTTTATTTTACACCAACATTTATATAGTATAAATTAACTTGAAAATAAATTTAGTCAAATATCGTAGCCTGAAATGTGAAATGTTTTTATAAAGGAAAATGAGAAAATTATTTAGGAACACAAGGATTTTCTTTAATTCTAGACTAATAAAATAACTTTAATTAAATATCGCAATTTAAAATAAAGAGATTGTTTAGGGACGGGGGAGTAATACTCTGGGTGCTTATTTATGTACAAGGAGAATTTCACAAAAAAAGTCCAAAATCGAGAGTATGCTATTGAGACGGGGATGAGGAGTGGGGACATGGACTTATATGGGGACGAGGTCGGAAGCGTAAAATGCCAAATTTTTTCATAATTTGTAAAGGATTTAGGTGTTGGGACGCCCCCAAGTGGGACGATTCGGGGACGGGAAGCGGCACCTACTTGAGGAGTCCAAAATGAAAATAGAAGATGAACACCCAAAATTACAAGTGATCCTTAACTGCAGATACAAAATTTGTGTCGATTTCTCTACGTCGTTCGCATCTCGACACACACACACACACAGAGTCGAAGACGAACACACACGATTTTTCTGGTAAATCTCCACGGCGGCTAGAATTTATACTCATGATTTTAGAGATGAATAACAATTGTATTCATCCGCGCAATGAGCTTTGTGATCCAATCCTTTTCTATTACATCACTCCAGAAATCCTAAAGGCCTTTCATCAATGCAAATTTGAAGATTCTATCTGAATAAACTTCTAAAAACAACCTCAACTCAGACCAAATGATCAGGACTTGTACAGATGTACCTGTCATTTACAGTTTCTTGTTTTCTTGCTGTTTTGAGAACCAAGAGATATGCTTTGCCAAAGACTATCCAAAACTGAATTCTCATGAAGTTTTTGAAGGGATTCTTGAGATCTCCACCAATATTTTGTGGAGGGATTGAGGCTTGGAGAAGAACGGAGAGTGATCTGCACCTTTGAGATGATACACTTTTTCTGGAGGGTTTTGCTCAATCACCATCTGCTGTGAAGCAATGGGGATGGCATTATCCTCTGGAGTTTCAATGTAAAACCGTCTAACTGATCCGTACTTCGCCTCCGATAATGTAAGCTTCTCCAGGATTGGGGAGAAGGGGATTGGTCGCATTGACACTAATGCCAAAGAAACGTCCTGGTACGCACAATTCAAGAAATAACATAGAATGAGATCACTTAACTTTTCCATCACCCTTTATGCATTTTAAGAAACACTCTATGGAGTATTAATGAACACAGCTAAGCCCATTAAAACCTGACCCTTTATGCAAACAATGCAATTTTCTAACAAAACTGATAGTGCACCATATATAATTGCTAAATGCTATTACCAGGCCAACAATTAGCAAGCTGTAAATTTATGCAAAAAATATTGTTCAGTGGCCCTATAATTGCAATCTTAATAAGAACGAATAATGAAATGAAAATTTTTCTATCCATGGAATATATGATGAGACAGCCATGAGTTAAGACGAGTGCTTTTGGAATGTCCAACCTTACAGAACTGCTATTGGCAGACCAAGATGCAAATCATGGTGGATGACTTCAAGGAAACTTTCAATAACAAGTAAGAACTGAAAAAGAATATAACATATATACCTTAGCAGGACTCTGGTTAAATAACAAGTCCCTCAAGAGTGATTTGTCGAGGTCAATTGCAGTCGGTTGGCTATTCTTGCAATCACCATATATAAAATTTTGAGCTTGCCTCATTAGGTCGTTTGGCTTGGTCTGCTTCAACGAATATAGAAAGCGACTAGTTACTATAAAGGCCACCCGTTCAACGCAAAGACACCAACCAAATGTATACAAACATTATCTCAACCACCAATGGAATAAAGAATGGGATTCCAGCTAAGATTCAAGAAGACATACAATTTGGGAGAACATATCAAGAAGACTCTGCCCACTGGTCAACATAGCCGCAGCGACGAAAACAGCTCTAGAGATCTTCGAGGAGAAAGCCTCCATTGCATATGATATACAAGCACCACCCGAATCATGTCCAACCAATATCACCTTTATGTTCATGACAAAGAAAACATAAGAAAAAATATGGGTCAAAAAATGTATAACCAGCCCTAAATGCTTATGGTTTTGACTTAAATAAACACCCAACATGAATCCAGAATTAGAATTCACTGATGAAAAAAAAACACTAATTCACCTTCTCCCCATCAGCTAATTGCTCGAGAAAATCAGTAAGCGGCTTGACATACTGTGACAGAGTAGTAACACTATTTGTATCAGAAGAATGAATTCCAGAGCCACATAGGTCCAGTGCAGTAACCCTAAACCCAGCAACTTCCAGAAGTGAAGTGGTTTTATACCAGCACCATGCCCCAAAACCCCCGCCGTGAACGAGCACGAAATGATTGGTCTCCACATCACCCATACAGAAATCCTGCCAATTAAGAGATTGAACAGACAATTAGGGATTCGATTGGGAATCTGCACTCGATTGAAAATGAATCCCATACCAAAATTCAATGTAAGAAAATTTCAGATCAATCTGGAGATCAATGTGAGAAATTATCGGCGCGGATTGAATTCCAGACGAAATTGATGGAGAATATGTGAGTGAGGGAGGGAGATAGACGACCTCCGTACTGAGCGGTTGAGAGGGAGGACATAGATCAAGGGATCGAACGGTGGAGCTCAAGCTCCGAAGGAGCTGCTGCTGATTCCTCCTCGATCGCAAGAGCTGGCGCGAGGAAGCGAATCCGGAACGATCGGAGCTCGAATCGTGCGCGCCGCCGCCGCCATCGCCGCTGTTCTGCAACTTCTGTTGGAAGAGAATTGCCACCGCCGCAGCGGCGAGCTCGCGGTCCTGCAACGCGGCGTCCTTCCTCCTCGTGGACGGGTTCCTTCCCCCGCCGACTGACTGCGAGCGGCTGACGGCACGCCTTGGCCACCGCCGCTCCGCCTCGTGGCTCCGGGAGAAGCAATGCCCCATTCTGTTTTGCGCTCCTTCACTCACATGCAGAGTGATCCAGATACTCGTTGGGTAACTATTTATAGTTTTATACGTACTTGGACCGTTGACTTATTCTCTGAGGATATGACAAATTGGTTGACCACGTACGAAATCAATGAAATCATAATCATACTTTCCCTCCATAAGAAAATATGAATACACTTTCTCACATACATAAATTAAATAAATTATTATAACAATATTATTCATGCAAGAGCAGCTCCATAAATTTGTATTTAAAGAATGATACACCCAATTTAAAATTTATGTTTCGATTTTCGATATTTGATTGTAAGTTATTTCTAATACTCCCTCCACTCCAACAAATCTTTTCTGTTTTGACTTTTTTAATAAGACAATGATACTCCTTGATCATAAATTATAAAAAAAGTATATTTATTTATAATCTAAATTCAATGTAATTGGGTTCTCTTATGATATAATTTTGATATATTAAATTTTTATATCATTTGTTTATTAAGATTATTTTAGTTTATAGTCAAAGAGTGTCACTTTTTGACCTAAAAAAGTCAAAATATGAAAGATTTTTAGTACCAGATGGAGTACAATTTATTTGAGAATTGGAATGAATTAAAAAAATTATATTAAAAACTATATCACATGACTATATTATTTTATCAAATAAGTAACAAAAATAAAAAAAGTACTACATAAAAGTATAACCTTTTAAATAGTAAACATGCATGCAACTTATGTTGGAAACGATATTTTTTGGTATCTTTTTAAATTTATGTAAGACCTATGTTTGGCTTACCACATTGAATAATATGCCATTTTTGTTATTTTGACCATGAATGGAGTTTCACTAGTTAAGATTTAGTGGATAATTGTGTCTTTTTTATTCAAACTTTTACTTTTACTCTTTCAGTTCCAAAATATTTGCTACATACGTAAAATAAAGGAAAATTATAAATTTTTTCAATTTATATTATTGAAATATTAGTATATAAAAAAATAAAAGTAGCTCATGTATATATATTTAAAAATTACGTAAAATTTATAATGGATGAAAACGTAGAAATAAATTAAAAAAATTGAAATTTTCAAATAGTGAATTATGATTTTTTGGGGCGGAGAAAATAATATTTAAGTTTTGAGGCCAATTTCAATGAGAAGGTGGGGAGGATGAGAAGGAAAGAGAAAGGAAGTGAGGACTCAAAAGCTTTACTTCCTACTGTCTCTGTCCCAAAATATAATCAACACTCCAATATTTAAAAATTCCAGGAATTTTTATTTATTTTTGTATTTTCATTGATTATTTGATAAAATGAAATATCCTTGTCAGCACTTATTTTGTAGAACTTTTGACGTAGTTTTGAAATATGTAAGTTTTATTTTTTATCTGTAGACCATTCTTTAAATAAAATGGATTGAAAAAATTCAAAAAATTACTTCGTTTAGCGTAATATTGCTTATATTTTGGGACGAAGAGAGTAATATTTAAATTTCTGTTCTAAAACCTTATTACACTAGTTTTGACTCTTAAGTTCATACTAAAGATATAGATTCCAAAGTTTAATTAAAATTAAAATTATATCCAAAAACCTCAGTTACAACTAAGACACAAAATTTATAACATACTACCTTCGTTCCTGAAAACTTTTCTCCTTTCTTTTTCATCTGTTCCAAAAAACACTTCTCATTTCTATTAATAAAAAGTCATTTTTACCTCTTACTTTTTCATACCCTACCTATCACATCATACCTTTTTACTAATAATCTAGTCATCAAATCATACTTTTACCCATCACATCAAAGGACATTTTTGAAAATTTAATACCAAAATACACTCCTCTTAAATTTCTCTTCAAAACCAAAACTCTCATGTTTTCCGGGACGGAGGGAGTATATGATAATGTTTTTCAGTGGTTCGGTTAAGGCCGGCTCAAAGGTAAGCCAAGGTGCCTTACCGGCTCAGTCACATTTTTTTCGAGGGCCCAACATTTTTAGTTTTTGAATATATATTTTATATATTTTAAATAAACAATTTTAAAACACAACTCTTTAAGATAGCAAAGCTATTATGATATTTAATTGTAATACTACAATTTTGATATATGTTTCTATAATATTAATTGTTTATATAATATAATTTGTCAAGACAAAGTCTTATTTTTTATCTCGTCTAGGGCCATCGAATCCTCGGGGACGACCTTGGGCTCCGTGACCCAAAGAGCGGGGCGAGCCTTAGTCTACACACACTATGAACACGCAAGAGGAAGAATATGATCTGATTTTACTTATTTTCTTTAAAACACTGGTCTTATTTTATTCTGTGATCGTTGTACTAAATTTTTAGATATTGAGATCTGAAATAATATTAGTTACAAAAAAATCAAATGTGAGACCTTTTTTTGGAATAGAAAATATGAAAAGTTAGTGCAAGAAAAACTAAAAATGATTGCTCAACATATAACATACAAAAACAAAATTGAAAAATTAGAATTAGAATTAACCATGCAACACGTTGAAAAAGAGAGAAAATGATACGGTAATTACGGAGTATTATTTCATTAATTAATACTCCCTCTGTTCCACAAAACTCTTCCTCTTTCGTTTTTTTTGTTTTCCACAAAACACTTCCACTCTCTATTAAAAAACCACTTTTACCCCTACTTTTTCATACCCTACCTATCACATCATACTTTTTCACTAATAACCAAACTATCACATCTTACATTTTTCCATCACATCAAGGGCAAAATTGGAAAGTCAACCAAAATTACATTTTCCTTATTTTTCTCCAAAGTCAAAACCGGAAGGGTTTTTTGTGAAACGGAGGGAGTAATTACTGTTCATGATTTAAATGAAGTTTTGACTTATTCTTCCTGTAGTTATTAATCCAGGAAATATTTTCAGTTCATACATTAATGCTATTCCCCTAAAATTTCCGTAACTATATTCGTCTCCACCTCCCAACTACTAGCAGCTCAGCTGTTCAGAACGGCCCTCAATGGAAAACCAATTTAGTATTAACAAAAAGATAGAATCAAATTTATGTTCTCTTCCCTCCCAACTTAGGGCCTGTTTTGAAATAGCGTTAGAAACTAGCGTCAGCATTTTAGATAAAATTTTAACGATACAGATTATAACGTTAAACATTGTTTAAAGATAATTTTTTCAAAACACTGACGCTGATCTCTAACGCTATTCTCAAACAGGACCTTAGACAATTACTCCCTCCCTGATTAGTTGTTCCAGTTAATTTCATAAAGTTTAAAAAAGATTTTGAAAAATAAAGAATGGTTGGTTAAAATTTGATCAGATCGGAGGAAAGAGAAAAACTGTAGACCACCGGCCTAATTCATACACTACAAGAAATGATGCCACCAATGACATATTTTTGAATCATTTATGACATATAAAAGTATCATTAGAATAGATATTGAAATTTTCTAAAAGTGACATCGTTTGCTATGTGACAAAATTAAAGTTTGACACATCAAGCTTATTAATGCTTATGACACTTAAAAGTGTCACCAAGAATTATAGAGACTCTTTTTAAGGCAATAAGAATTTTACACTACAAAAAAAACGCAAAATTGGCACGACTTTTAACACGAATTGTAGTTTTAGTTTCCCGTGACTATGGAATCAAAATCAAATCATGTCATGGAATCTTCACTAGGCATGGCTATTGGCATTATACCCGCCGTGCCTAGTACGGAATGTCACAAGTTTCAGAATTTTAAAATATTTAACTGTAATAACTCTTTTAAATAGCAAATCTATATATTAAAATGAATTCAAATTTACAAAATGTAAATTATTGTAAATAAATCATCAATTAACTATATTTATTAGCGAGATAGAAGATGTTTTTTCACGTAAATTATGTATAAATATTAAACCCTCGCGTAATGGATGAAATGAAATTAAAACGCCAAAAAAACATATTAAACACATACTTACTGAAATGAAAATTCATATTACACACACTTACTGAATGAATGTAATGAAATTAAAAATCCAAAAATATATCGTACCTGGATGGATGTAAGGAAATTGAAATACTCCGTATGTTTCTGGATGAAATGGTTTCGTATATAAAGAAATGGTGAACTGCAATTATTGCAATGTGAACTACTTCCAACTACTTTATAGTACAAAACCTTTATACTCCTTCCCTCCCAAAATATAAGCAACATTACGCTAAACGAAGTAATTTTTTGAATTTTTTCAATCCATTTTATTTAAAGAATGGTCTACAAATAAAAAAATTACATATTTAAAAACTACGTCAAAAGTTCTACAAAACAAGTGGTGACAAGAATATTTTATTCTATCAAATAATCAATGAAAATGCAAAAATAAATAAAATTTCCGTGATTTTTAAATAGTGGAGTGTTGCTTATATTTTGGGACGGAGGGAGTAGAAAACTTTAGTACAAAAACTTTAGGATGTAGTTGTTTTATTTGGATAAGTACGATAGATGTAGATATTTTATTTGGATAAGTTTTTATAATTTTCTATTATTGTAGTTCTTTCTTTATTTCATCTAAAAAAAGTTGTATCCTGCACTTTTCTCTAATTTTAGTTTTGTTATCTTCCGATTTTAATATATTTAAAAGATAAAAGTTTTTTATTTTGAGTATGATTTAAATGTTTAAATAAATAAAATTGTGTCATACGGAGAGTGACACGGATTTAGGCACGGCTATTTTCATGACAAAACAGTCTTGTCCTTTTCGATTTTGAATTTTATGAGAAAGGTAAGGAATTGGAACAGCTAAATTCGTGCATATTGGTTAGAATAAACGCCGTCCGACAACACCGTTAACGTCTTAACGTTTACGCTATTTGCACGGAATTAGGCACAGACAAATGCAGAGCCAAATTAAAACGCAAATAGAAACACGCCATGTGGCTGCTTTCTTTTTTCGGTGTAGTCACGGCCATATCCGTGGCTAATATTCCGTGTCAATTCCGGGAGTTTTTTGTAGTGTTACATTGCGACACTTTTAGTTATCAAAAGGCTATATGTCATGACACTCTGTCACTCTCATTAAGAGTCATCATAGAATAAGTGTCATTAGTGGATCTCTTTTTTGTAGTGATAGAGTCTAATTTCATCTTTAGTCAATCATTTTTACTTTTAACATTTAATTGAACAAAATATATATTGCATACGTAGTATTAATTAGATAAGATAATATTTTAAAAATATTTTATAAAATGAATCGAATAATTTTTTTTATTAATATCTAAAATCATTTTTATTTAATTTCTGATTAAAATATGTTAATTTTTACCAAAAAAATTCAAAAACAGACAAACACTCAATGATAAAGGAATTAGTTTATTTTGAAAGTAAAACATTAAGGCAATTGCTTTGGGTGGGTTAAAAAAGAAAGTGAGACGATTAATTCTGGTCGGTAGAATTAGAATTATGTGAGTGTAAGTAAATGAAATTCCTATCCAAAAAGATCAATAGGGAATGGAATGGAATCGGTTTTTTTAGTTGGAAAAATTAACTTTCAACTTTATTTAATTCTTTTTAGTGTCTTACAAAAGAAATAATCCAAAATAGGTGTTGCATGTTTTTATTCCTTAAATAGGAGTTCACATCATGGTAAAATGACATTGCACATAGACATTTTATTATAATTTTCGGCAATGTACATGGTTATCTGATATTGTAAATACATTTTAACTCTTATTTCGGAGAAAATAATATAGAACTCCTATTTTGGTATATTTTTAATGTTTTGCTCTTACTTTAGTATTTTTCACTTCTTCCAACTCGTTGCAGTTTCTGCTAACTTCTTGTTTCTTCTAACTCCTTCTAGTTTTTATGAACTCTTTCAAGTTTCTTCCAATGTCTTAAAAATTATATTTATATATAATGACTATACAATAATATTATATATCCAAATTTATAATATAACACCTCAAATACAGACAAAGATGAATTTTTTATGTCTAAAATTAGTTTTCTTACATATTTATTAAGGTGATCATTTAATTAATTAATTTCTTTAACACTTTATGTTTTTCAACTTTTTTCAACCTCTTCCAATTTTTCTAACTTCTTCTAACTTATTCTAGTTCCTTCCAAGAACTAACTTTAGAATTCTAGCAAAAAACAGAGGCGATAGGGGTGAGCAAGTACTGAACCGATGCCGAAAATTCTCGAAAAAGCTGATCGACAAAACTAAGGAAAAATACCGAACTGAAAAAATACCACTAAAATACCGAACTTTACCGAACCGGATGTTCGATTTGGTATTTTGGAACGATATGAGGTAACTTCCTATACCGAAAATCTCGAACCGAATATATATACTAATATATTACAAATATAATAATCTTTTTTATTTTTTTCATTGAACAATAAGTTTATTTTTAAAATTTGGCTCAAATTTTATTACATGTACATTGAACTTTTGTTTGAGTTTTATTTTTTTGTATAAGAATTTAAAAATAGTAACACAAATTTGTAATATTATTTTTTTATCATCCGCTCACTGTAGTTTGTGAGATATAAACTAAGTTTAATAAATATTTCTTGGATTTAATTTTTTATTTTCATGTTTTTTGTTTAAATATACTTTCAATTTATAAAAAAATACGGAGTAAATATTTTTGTGACATTTTAATGTTTAAATTAGGTGTGTATGTTTTCATCCTGATTTTTTCCGAAATCAATATCGAACCATACCGAATCAAAATTTTGGGATTGGTATCGGTACGACGTAAAATCGCATACCGAACCAAAATATTTGTACAGTATCAGTGCGAGCTAAATACTACTCCGTATATCATACCATACCATGCTCACCCCTAAGAGCCGCAATACTCAAAATTAGTCACAACCCCTTTTCACACCATTATTTTGATAAGAAAATCTAATAGATCTTTCAAATGAACTTTAATTTCCAAACACTACATAAAGGATATTAATATATCTACCTGAATTTTAGCTAAATTCATATATTTTATGTTATAAGCCTTTTTTGAGAACAATATTCTTTTTTTATAATGTTAGCGTTTTAGATACAATTTTAGTGGTGTAAATTAATTTTGAAAGCGCTAACACTAAAAGCTATCGTTAGATAGGATTTTCAAAACACTAACTAAAGAACCTGAGCCAAAACAACTTGGACCTGCCAAAGAGACTAGAAGACGATATTATGATTCTAAATGGCGCGAGCCGCTCGGTGATGGCGACTGAAAGGTAAATTGGATTAAGCGAGAGCGAGTTTGTTTGAGTCTTTCTTGGTTCTTGAAGCGTGAAATGCGTGTAAGACATGCCATTTTGACCACGATGCTGGCGGATCCAATCGTCTCGCCTTGATTCCCCAGGAATTGGCGGGAAGTTCCGACATAGTTAATCCATATGATATTTACGAAAAAAATTAAGATTCTTGAAGCGCGAGAGACTTGGAGGCAACAACGAGAATAAAATATTATTTAATCATGGAAATGCCATGTGAGGCGCACCTATCAGAATCGGTTTAGACCAATTACCAGATCCACCTATCATCGTTGACATAATCGTAAAAAAGATCATTAAAAAAGCATGAGTCGTGAACAAAAGATACATAGGTTTGAGTGAATGAGTTTTAGGGTCGAGAGGGTACGTAAATCCTCTCAGGCCATAAGGAGAACGGAGGACGCCGATCAACACCTTCGGGAAATAAAATGAACCGCCGCTATCTCGTGATTATCCTTTTCAAAAACAAAGATTTGAAGTGGTCTTTAATTTACAGAGTATTCGATATAGCTCACGCATTCGTGTACAAACCAGTGCAGACGAAGTAACACGAATATCTCCGATTCTAACATCTCATCGAGCCTAGAATCCTCTCGAGTCCAACTTCAACAAAACACTAATACTAACCCCTAATGTTGATGTCAAATGATGTCGTAGACAGTTTTGTCCCTAAAAATTGACTTACATCTAAATTTCTTTTATACTTTTAACGATAAACTTGTCAATTTAGGAGTGAAGATAGTCAAAATGGAAATAGATACTTGGATTTGTAAAATTATATTTTCATTTTTTTAATGAGCAATGCTAGAGGTACACCTTTTAGGGGTACAACTTTGGTGTACCCCATTTGTCCCCCACCTCCTTCACCACCATATATTTTTATTTCATTTTTAATTATTTATTTATTTTTAAGTTTTTAATTATTTATGTGGTGGAGAAGGGGGAGACAAATGGAGTACACTGTACCCTGTCATTTTTCTTTTTTAATTACTTGTGACCATTTTTTTCCTTCTTTGTGTTCTTCGGCTTGTAAAAATATTCGTGATTTTCTTTGCTGACGGTAATTCCGAATCTCGTCTGCGCCTATTCCGCCTTAGATCGCAGGTCATCTTCTCCGGCCGGCCGACTCCGGCTTCGTCCCGTAGACAGCAGCACAACAGTGCTCCTTCTGTCCCACAGGTATATATATTCGAACATCCACTTCTGATTTTGTTTCGTCCCCGCCAATAGTAAGGGATTCAACTTCAAAAAGGGAAAAAGGCTATTAGAAACCATCTGGATTCTGGAGTGCACTGAATTTGTAAAACTCACCAATCAATTACTGGTCAGCAAGTCAGCGCAGCAGCATCAGGTCACAAAACCAGTGTGGCTCCTTCCGATCTTATTCTTAATTACTTTTTTAATTTGTGTTTTATTCAATTAATTAATATCAACAGTTACAATTTTTGACTCCAATATTAACCATTATGTTTTCAATTTGTGCATTATTCTTTCGATTTAGAAACATAATGATTTTTTTCTTTTAAAATACTCCGTATTATTTATTGCGACGGAGAAAGAAGTTCAACTACAACGGTTTCGTGAAGAGGCTTTGATGAGTTATGGAGATGAATATGAGGATGACGATGAAACTGTTGACTTGCCTAAATTTAAAAAACCAAAATTGTAGACTTTTTATATGCCATGTATTGTGTGTGTGTGTGCATTTGCTTTTTTTGGTTTGCCATTTGACCTCCCGTCACTCGCCACGCCTCTCGCCACAAAAAAGGTCCCCTCGCCCGCCACTTGCCATTCATAACTATGATTTGACCTTAGTGTTGGTTGTTCTTTAGTATCTTCTGTATGATAAGGTGTATTTGTTATATTTGTGTTTACTAGCTATTGAACTCATACTGTTTTTTTTAGTTCAAAGTTCAAATTGTAAAATCTAAACTACCATTCTTGTTGAAACTATGTGCACACATCATAAGCCATATTTTTGTAAATGTAACCATATAAAACACAAACGTTGAAAAAAGAAGTCTATCCATGTAAAAAAAATCCTATTCACTTGTATTGTTAAAGGATAACTATAACTTGCTGCTCAAGTGGATCTGAAGTTTCTTTTACCCTTAGTTCTTACGGTTCATGTGATGTTTAGATCTCCTAAGGTGTCTTTTGTATTTACTTCTTGTTGCATTTCTTAACATCAATGTGTCTTGTCTGGAATTGTAACTTTGGGATTTAACTTGTTGAATCTTGATTTGTGGGTAGACTTGGTAGATAGTTATGTTATGTACTTATGTGCCATTACACTCTGTCCCATAAAAAAAGTTCCACATTGTTTTTTGTTTCTCCCAAAAAAGGACTAATAAGCATGTTTTGAGCTTTTGACCTATGCTAGATATGACTATTAATTGCTTTTCATACATCTTTTCGTGGAACCCAAGTTTCCTAGAGAAGTTGTTACCCTTATACGGAGTATTTAATAAAGAGAAACTAGTCTGACTTGTGATTTTTGACATTATTGTGGCAGATGAGGTGTTGTTATTGGAACATACTCTTTTTTGTGTTCACGTGTATGATTGGAATGCTTGATGCTAGTTCCGGTGACATTGATCCATCATATAGGTAATATAATACTCCCAATCATTTAGCTCCATCCAGTTCAGTGTCCCCAAAGAAAATTATGTGTTGTTGTTGTTGTTGTTGTTGTGGGGTGAATGCTAACCATGACACAATTCGATTTCTTTGTCCTCTGTGGGACTCTTAACAAGGCAGTTGATATTCTCCCCACCATAATAGGGCTTGTTTGGGTGAATGCGAAAAGACTGGATGTGCTGCGGGAAGATGTTTTGCACAATGCAAATTATTTTCTGATGGTTCAGCCTTCAGTGGCGCCACCTGGTACATGCACAAAGGTCTCTATCAGAAATGGAAACTATTAGACTGCAAAAACGATTGCATGTATCACTGTATGACTGACAGAGAAAAAGAAAGAGTGTCACTTGGTCAACGACCTGTCAAGTATCATGGGAAATGGCCTTTCAGACGTCTCTTTGGGCTTCAGGTCATTTGGTTTGTAAGATTTGTATGCTTATTAGCTTATCACCATATTGGAGTGATATCCCCTTATCAATCCGAAGTTTGAAACATCATCTCTTGAATGTATCAGGAGGCTGCCTCTGTTGTTCTTTCGCTGCTCAACCTCGCAATGCATTTCCATGGTTTGTTGTCCTTTTACATTCTTGTAAAAAAGTACTCCGTGCTATCTAAAACAGACAGGAGATCATACTATGATTATACTGGCCTTTGGTTCGTATATGGTCTGCTGTCTATGAATTCGTGGTTTTGGAGTGCTGTTTTCCACAGTAGGTAATCTCTTATCCATGATCTTGTCAGTGCAGGAATCCTAGAATTTAATTCACAATTTCTTTGTTCTTCCCGTTAAACCCTTTATACGGGTCGTTAGACATATGCCATATATTGCTAACCACTGCTTCATTGAATTTCTGGGTGAGTGGGTGACAGAGATGTTGATGTTACAGAAAAGTTAGACTACTCATGTGCAGTTGCCCTGCTTGGCTATTCTCTAATTCTGGCTATACTGAGAAGTTTCAACATCAGGCATGAGGCTTCCAGAGTGATGGTTTCAGCCCCAATTCTTGCTTTTGTAACAACCCACATACTTTACCTCAACAATTATAAAATGGACTACGGTAAGGGTCTCATTCCTCATTCTTACTAAAATATTTGCAGCTTGATGTGAAAAATGATTTTCGACGAAAATGCTTGTCGCATTTCCAAAACAAGATGCCATTTTCTCACAAAACATTTATACTATCTGGTACCAAACGTACAAAAACATTGGAAACAAAAGCAGCCCAAGTTACTTTCAATCAATATTTTTGCGTAATGGACTCATCGTTATGTGCTCTCAGGGTGGAACATGGTGGTGTGTGTTGTGATCGGGGTAGCTCAACTTATCATTTGGGCAATCTGGGCAGGAGTAAGCCATCATCCCTCTCGAGCGAAGGTGTGGCTTGTCGTGGTTGGTGGTGGCCTAGCAATGCTCCTAGAGATCTATGACTTCCCTCCCTATAAAGGACTTGTGGATGCACATGCACTTTGGCATGCTACCACAGTCCCCCTCACTTACATATGGTGGAGTTTCGTCAAGGATGACGCCAAATTCCTAACGTCTAGCCTACTCAAAAAGGCTAAATAGTCATAATCCTTCGCGGTCTGTGCTTCAAGGGTCCTGGCGTACGTGACGGTATTTGTATTCATTGTATTTATGGGGCCATAAGGTTGAATATCATGGAATCAATGAATTTTATTAACTGAACTTTTTCATGGTTACAAAAAAAAAGATGCATTTCATTCGTACGTCTATTGTGGTTTGTATTTACAGTATAGGTGTTTGATTTTATTTTTTATTTGATAGACTAGTTTGAACTTGACTTTGTTGGATCTACTACGTATTTATTGTTGTGAGGACAATTATTAGAGTTAAATATATTTTGGGTCTTTGTAATTGTTTAAATGTTTGACTGAAATTGTTTTTAATTCAATTTATTTGAAAATTAGCTTGAAATTAAGAATAAAGTTTAGATATTTAAAATTTATATTAAAAGTTCTACCAAACAAGATGTGACAAAACTATATTATTTTATCAAATGAATAACGATAATAAATAAAGAACATGGTTAAAATTTGATCACGTGGATAGTAACCAAATAACTCAAATTTTCAGAATCGGTTGTACTACGACTATATTGTAACAAGTTTAAATAACTGATGTCTTGTTTGAGAACAGTGTTTTCGATTAGCGTTAGCTTTTTGAATAAAATTTTAATAGTGTAGATTAATTTAAAGAACGCTAATACTAAAGACTACCGTTGGATATCCTTTTCAAAATGCTAACGTTAATCTCTAACGCTGATGTCAAACGGAACCTGAGTCTCATAAAGGAAGCGTAAAGAGAATAGAATTTGGGGAAAAAAGAAAGAGAATATAATTTCATATATTTACGTACCTCTTTTTTACTTTTATTCCTGTTGAAAACCATAAAATGCATTCCAATTTCAAACTTCCTTTTTGAAAACTTGGCCTACAAAAGACGGGAATCTAAAACAGTAAAACCGACTAAAATCATTCTCAACAAAAAAAAAGTCGAACCAAGCGGCTAATGTAAACGAAGCTAAGGTAGGGTTTATTTTTTGATTTTTTGGGAAAATAGTATCCCTTTGTCAAACAATTTCTTTTTCGTTTTGACTTGATACGGAAATTAAAAAAAATTAAAAATTATAAAAAAATTTCTTGTTTCGTCCTTGATATGATTGAATAAAGTGAATGGTGTAGATAAAAAGTAAGGGTATAACGAAACATTTTTTAAATTTTGTTGCCAAAATAGGAAAGATGAAATAAATTTTTGAACGGCCCAAAGAGAAAAGTGAGAAAGAATTAATCCTAAATTTATCCCTTTGACACTCACCTCTTGTCCATCTGATTTACGAGAAACCAAAGTCATTTAATTTCAAATCTCAAGAACACATGTTAAAAAAATACTCCTTCCGTCCCGGAAAACATGAGAGTTTTGATTTTTAAGAGAGATTTAAGAGGAGTGTATTTTGGTATTGAATTTCCAAAAATGTCCTTTGATGTGATGGGTAAATGTATGATTTGATGGATAGATTATTAGTAAAAAGGTATGATGCGATAGGTAGGGTATGAAAAGGTAAAAGGGTAAAAGTGATTTTTTAATAGAAATGAGAAGTGTTTTTTGGAACGGATGAAAAAAGAAAGGAGAAAGGTTTTCGGGGACAGAGGGAGTATAACAATAAATTCATCATAAATTGAGCTTGTGTTCTACAATTAAAGTAGAAAAACTTTGATCATAAACTCAAATTATTTGTTCGATTAATTTTCACAATCAAAGTGGACAAACTTTGAATATCACCTGGATATAAATTATACTCCTATTCTCCTACTATTTTTGATCTTTTATTTTTTTTGTTTGTCCCACTATTTTTATCTCAAATGAAGTACCATATTTGGCCTTGGTCATATTAGCTCACATTCATTTTATTTTATCTTATTTTTTAATATCAATATCAACCACACAATCTTATGTAGTACGGAGTACTTTTTTAAACTTTTGCATCACTCTCTTATTTCTCAAAAATAGTACGACAGAGAAGCTAAGGGAGTATTGCATATCAATGCAATACCATTATTTTTTAACGATATCTTACAAGATAGTTTTAATGAAATCATATTGTATAAATATGAATTTCAATCTTTTTTCTATTAATAATCAAAGTTCACATTATCTAGTTAGAAAAAAACCAAACTAAATAAATACCCCAACAAGTAAAAGGTAAGTTTCCTATGCTATTTTGATGAGTTAATTTATTATTCACATAAATCTTGAACATGATGAAAGTGAATCTTTTAACTTTACTGGAGGATTAATAAAAAAAGATGAGCCCCATCCTCGAGGGTCTTCTCAGACTCGATCTGAGGGTCATTGAGAAGATATAAATTGAACCTTTATCCCAGATTGATGACAAAGAGTATAATCTGCACTTGGTACTTGCAGAGGCCTTATGCTTAACATAATTATCTTTCAATGCAATTACCAGGAATCGAGCTCGAGTCTTATTCCTTGGTAGTCCTTGTTTTGCCAACTACACAGCGTCCACCGACATATTTTTGGAGGACTTATAAGTTTGGCTTGATCAATAAATAGCCACCACTAGAAGCCCATATCACTCACTTAATTAGTAAAGACTTTTGGTCAAGGTCAACAGTATGAGCGTTAGAAGAGAAGATGGCGAAGACAGCCAAACACGAAACAACGAAGGACGAGGCTGTGGAGTTGATCGAGTAGGAGCGGGTGTTGCCGCCGTTACGGTGGACGGCAGCAAGAAGAGGAATAATAACAAGCTTTTGATACTGGACGTTAATGGCGTCCTCATTGACATCGTTAGGACCGTTTCTGGCCGTCGTTACGGTGAGACTTCTAACTTTTAATTACCTTTTTATCCCTGTATGTATCTGCTTAATTAGCTATTCATATTTCATAGTGGTCACAACTCACAAAGTATTTACTCCGTACCTCTAAATATAAATTGCAAATTATTATCTATCATAGTTTTCAGAACCAGATCGGTGACCAAACCGGTCGAAGTATCGGTGGTTTAAGCATATTTTAAAAATCATATAAATAAATATTTAAATAAATAAGTGTCTAATTAATCTTGGGTTCAAATGCCCATGGTGGTATGCTTTTGAAAAAAATCGCAAAAAAATGGTGCGGCGGTTCTTACTGGTTCAAATTGGTTTGAAGGTAATTGCTGTCCAAAGGATTGGACCGGTTCATGGTCTGAACCGACCGGTCCGGTCTGATTTTTAAAACTATGCTATCAATTCTCTTTTTAACCTATCAAGAAAATTAAAATAAGTAGAACTGGGAATGAAGTTATGCACCAAAGAGTAGACGTAAGACCTAAATCCAAAACTTTTTAGAAAAGAGTCAAGTTAAATAAAAGTGTGTTAGGTGTACACCTGGCTTCTCACAAACACACATAGACAATTGCACCTAGGATATACATATTATAGAGTACTCCATAATACTAAGCTTCTGACCGACCTTGACTTATACTCCCTCCGTCCTCCATATATATTCTCAATAGCCCTTTTTCTTTGTCTACAATAGATCTTCTCATTTCATTTTTTAACAATTAAAATACCATAACTACCCCCACTTACTTTATTTATTACACCTCACTCACCTTATTTAATACACTCCACCCATATTTCATTAAGGGTATTATTGTAAACTTTCACTTTTTTTCAACTCTCCTTAAAAACCACCAAAAGTCAAAATGAGAACATCTTAGGAGGACGGAGGGAGTATATTATAAGACCTTTTCCATACTTCTTTTGCCCCAAAATAAAATTTTTAGTTACGATTCACAGGTCAATTTAACTATACTTTCTTTATGAATTTGCATCGATCATTTGATAAATAAAATAACATTCTCTCCACTTGTTTTGTAGAGCTCTTGATGTAGTTTTATAATATACTCCCTCCGTCCCAAAAAGATTTACACTTTTCAAAAAAATTACGTCCCACAATCTCCCACCCATTTCTATTAAAAAACTACTTTTACCCCTTACTTTTTCAAACCCTACCTATCACATCATACCTTTTTCCTAATAATCTACACATCACATCCTACTTTTACACATCACATCAAGGGTATTTTTGGAATGTCAACACAAAATTATCCCTCCCTTAATTTCAATTTTAGTCAAAACGTGTACATATTTTTGGGACGGAGGTAGTATAATTTTTATATTTTTAAATCTACACTAGTTTTTACTTATATTGATTTAAAAATATTTTCAGCCAAATATCATAAATAGAATATGAACTTTATTTTGGGACAGAGGACTGAGAGAAGTATTTAATACACTCTCTTCATCCCAAAGTTAAAGTCTATTTTGCCTTTTTTTCCAAACGGAGTACATGTGCTAGCCCAACCCCAACGATTAAGTATGAGTTGTTTGTGTTCGTTGTGCCAGGCCCAGATATGGTTTCCTTATTATTTACTTGCATTGGGCTATAAAAAAAGCATACGAGCCCAATTTATGAAGCCCAAACTCAAACCTTGTAAGCTCATCCTTATTCCTACATTCCTAGACCAACATTAAGAAAAAGTCAGGATTTAAAAATAAGCGGTGATTTTCGCATTGGACAATTTTGCCCTTCGCCTCTATTAATGAATAATAAATGGATAGTTTTTCCCTTCACATTTTTTTCTTTTATAAATATTTAAGGGTAAACATGTTTTTTAAATATATATGAGGTGGATATAGCGAAATGATGAGGGGTAAAGTTAGCAATAACTTTTCACATTTAGGCTAAATTTTAAATTTTAGAGCAAATTTCCTAATAAGTTTTTTTTATGCTTATTAATAATTCGAACATATTGATATAGAACATTAAAAATGTGCAGGTTCGTTGATTTATGTGGGCAAAAACAAAAATCATATATTTCTTTTTTTGCTGTTAAAACTATATACCGCCTCCGTCCACGAGTATTTGTTCAATTTTGAGTCTTTGCAGTAAATCATTTTTAATTTTTGATCTATAATTAAATAAAATATATATTGTATCTTAACTAGATAAAATTTTATTCTGATAACATTTTATAAAATGAATCTAATAAAATTATTTTTAGATAAATATCTAATATATCTTTTGTTCAATTTGTGGTCAAGTTTGCCAATTTTTATCAAAAAAGTAAAAAACGGACAAAATCTCAGGGACGGAGAGAATATTTCTTATGGTGGATTATATTTCAATTAAGAGGTGTGTTAGAAGTACACCATGTTTGTACCCCAACTTGCACACCAATAGTATCACAGACACACACAGACAATAATTATTTGTACATCTCATAGGTATGTATGTCAATATGTGATACACTTGGTATGAAAATTGAGCTACAAACTTGGTGTAGTCTTACATTTTTTTTACTTAATTAATTGCAGTAATATGAAACTAAAGCCCCAAAAGTTTATCATCACACATGATCCAGTCTTTTGGGCCGACCCATTTTAATTTATTAGCTTTGTGTGTCAGCTATTTCACTTGTAAGGAATTAGGATAAATGTTTGTCCAAGTTGTTTTGGAAAAATGTTAGTTAGCCTATGTTTTTTGTGTCAAATGTTAATGAGGTTTTTATGTAAACCAACTTTTTGTGACCAAAGAGATCTCCAAAAAAAGAAATTAATCAAACATTTCTAATTGTTATTAGGCTAATTACTTAGCTCAATCCCATTCCACAAAACAATTAGTGTAGGTTTTTGTCCCATTGCAAAGATTCCTTATCTCAAAATTTCATGGTGCAATTAATATTAATAATATGCAGAAACTAAAACGAGGCCATTCTGTGAGGATTTTTTGCAATTCTGCCTGGAGAATTTTGATGTTGGCATCTGGTCATCTGCACCCAAGTATGTATTATAAAAAAATAAAATAAAAAAAAATCCCTTGTAAAAATCATCTCATAAGAACTTGAAAAAAATACTCGTATCAAAATGCAAGTAAATAATTAAGAATTTGATTAATTGCATTGTATATGCATGTGTCCATGCAGGAAATATTTAGACAATACTGTTGATGATTTATTGGGAGATGAGAAGAAAAAGTTAATATTCTGCTGGGTACGTAATTATGTTCTAATTTAGTATTTCATCAAGTGAAATTTACACTAAATAGTACTAAAGCATATGTCATTTCCCAATGTAGTCGTTAAACTTTTTTATTTCCTAAATAGTGCGTGAACAATATTTAGTGACTGGAACAATGTCCGCTGATGACAAACATATATATTTTGAAAAATGTTCAGGCGGTAGACATTTATTTGAACAATGACTAGTGGACAATGACGATTGGTACTACATTGGGAAATAAAAACATACTCTCTCCGTCCCATAAAACATTTCCTGTTTCAAAAATGGCACGCCTTTAAAATGAGTAATTTTAGTGTTATTTTTAATTATGACTAATCTATTCTACACATCTCATCCTACTCTTTTATAAAGTAAGGACAAAATTAGAAAATAAAACCAAAATTACTCATTTTAAGGGCGTGCCTTTTTTGAAACATGAAATGTTTTATGGGACAGAGGGAGTATAATACTACATTGGAAAAGTCATTATATTTTAGTACTATTTAGGTAAATTCCCCTTTGATCATTGTATACATATTTATAAAACCTAACCTAACTAGCTTCATTAGTAGTCCCTCCAATATAATCCATATTAACTAATCAGTATGATTTTTTAAATACATTGAAAAATGAGTGAATATAGACATATTTTACACCCACGTCACATTCATTTTATTTTCAATGTATCTAAAATGTCATAATGGTCAGTTAATTTGGAACGAAGAGAGGATGAGACATTTTTCTAACTATGATTAGTTGTTTGACAATAAAAATTATTGTAGGATAAGAGTTATTGCACCGAGACAGGGTTTATGACTCCAGAGAACAAGTGCAAGCAATTGGTTTGTAAAGAATTGAAGAAGGTATGGAGAAATGAATTCATAATCAATGGTGAACCTTGGTTGCTTAATGGATACTACAATGAATCAAACACATTGTTAGTTGATGATTCACCATACAAATCCTTGCTCAATCATGTAAGTATACAAATATATATGAATGATTCATTTTTTTTCTTTTGAAACAAATAGTGTATTAGATTTATACTCTCTCCGTTTCTAAAACATATTTCTATCTTTATTTTTTGTGCATTCCACAAAACAATTCTAAAACACATAAAAATATCTGAAATAGCTCTTTTTTGCTTAATTGCGGATAGAAGTTGTTTTGGGAGGTTTTAAGATATTTTAGATGGGATAGAAGTTGTTTTTAGAATTGCGTAAAAAATGAAGATAGAAATACTTTAGAAAACGGAGGTCGTATTTTAGAAGAAGCAAATTACTAAAGAAAAAAATGGTTTTTGATATTGTCCATATATAGGCTCACTCTGCAATCTTTCCTCATTCCTATGACTCCACAATCATGAATGACAACTCATTAGGTAACCTAATTGCCTTCTAACTCAGACATATATTACCCCGTTCTTGAGTATTTGTTCAGTTTTGATTTTTTGCAGTCAAATTGATAGATTTTGACAACTAATTAAATAAAATTGATATTGATACAAAAATATTATTATTAGATTTTTTTATAAAGTATTTTCAAAATATTGTTTTATCTAGTCAATATACTTTATAAATTTCATTTATTTATTGGTTAAAGGTCAAAAATAATTGACTGTAAAAAATCAAAACTAGATAAATACTCAGAGACGAAAATAATATCAAAGTTTTTCATAATTAGTTTTTGTATTGATCATCTCAGGTCCCGGAGGTGATCTTCGAGTTTATTTAGAAGGACTAGCGGCGGTGGATGAAGATGAAGATGTGAGGAAATATGTTGAGGATCACCCATTTGGGCAAAGAGCCATTCATGAAACATGCCCAAACTGGGAAATTTACTTGCAAATTATTGCATCCCTCACCACTTCTTCATGATAAAATCTCATTGAATTGGTACTCTTGACTTTCTGTTTTCCATGTTTACATATGTTCCATTTTCATTTTGAATCTTAAGGGATATTGGCTTTCGTGTGATTAAACAAACCAAAACGGTTCTTTAAAGTGAAATTTGCAGTGAATATGACTAAAACATAAGTCATTTCTCAATGTAGAACTTAAACTTTTTTTATTTTCTAAATAAGACCTAATAATGTCTAGTGAGAAGAGTAATGTCTAAGTGATGCTGGACATTTAGTTGAATAATGACTAAGAGATAATGACCAATGGTCCTACATTAAGAAATAAAAACATATGGTCCTATATTGAGAAAGTCATTATGTTTTATTCCTATTTAGGTAAATTATCCTTCTTTAAATTGTCTGTACTTCTTTCAATTACACGTAGGTTTTATTTGGTATACGGAATTGACGGAATTGGAATTAAAATTCTATAGAATTGAATTCTCCAATTCCCATTCATTTTTTGCACTAACAATTTCAAATTCACCTATTTTTGTGCTACCAAATACCAAAATTGAAATTGAAGTCTTCAATTTCAATTTTACTACTTGAATTTCGTGTACCAAATAGAGCCATAAAGTAATTAACCCAATATATATTCAAAATAATGAGTCCACTTGAGGGAAGTATTCGAATCTCATGTATGAAAGTTAAGAACTTATGGAATAATTAGTCAATGAGAAGAAGTAAACTATAATAAAATAATTAATTAATTGATCCCATTCAATCCAAATAATGTCATGTAACTCAATTAAATATATACCCAAGTCTAATCAATGTTAAGCTATTATAACATGATATGCAAAGACAAAACAGATGCCAGCAATAAAACATAAAATGCATACTTTAGGTTGTACAAGTACCCAAACTCCCAAATAAGTGTGAAGAAATTTTAAATTGTTTTTTTTTTAAATTAAATTTTTTAAAAAAGTTTCCAAATTCCAAATAATCCAATATGAGTTCCCACGAAATGTCCCCATCGGAATTATTTAACACAGCATTATTACTCAACCCGACAAGTGTAACTTCAAAGTCCCTTCCCTGAGGATTAAATATTTAAAACCTGAAACTTAATAGCAAAAAATAAATAAAAAATGTTTAGAGATAAAAAAAGATGGATGTTTGGTGGGCAGGGGGGACTTAGAGGGGCCGCCACGCTCTCTCACCACTATATAGTGCATCGTTTTAGATAATTTTTTAATGGTATGACTTTTTTTGAATAATATTAAAACTGAATGTTGACATTAATCAGATAATATTTTCAAAATACTAAAGATAAATGTTGAAGTTGTTGTTAATCAGGCCCTAATTAATTAATACTCGCATAATATGGGGCCCTAATATAATATAATGTTTTGATGGGGAACATAAACTTATAAAATAGTGTATGAAGGATAAATAGATGATCAAAGAATAGATAGGGATTGGTTGGTGTTTGCCTATTGAATCTCAAGCATCCCCTCATGCATGTTTTTTAGGGTTCTTTTCAATTTAGAAAATAGAAACATAAGGATAGAGATTGGTTAAGGATCTGTTTGGGTGGAAGGAAATTTAATTCAGAAAATTATTTTTTGAGAGAAAGACTAACATAGGAATAAAGTAGAGAAAAAGAACCAAAACATGATATTCATGTTTTTATCTCTAAAATAGAAATTACAATGTAAATAATGTCAACATTTAATAACGAAAAATGCAGTAGAATGTCAAGTTACAATGTTACAATGCAAACTTCTATTTTTCAGAATAAAAATTATGCCACTCCTTTTTGTGGACAAGGACTATATTTTACTCTAATTGTGGGTGACATCTTTTTTATTTTAAATTAAAATAATTTCCAAGAAAATTTATTTCTCTCCCTAGTAGAAAGGAAATATTTTGAGGACTCGAGGACTCAATAGAAAATGAGTTATCGAAGACATTAAGGATCTGTTTGGTTGGAGGGATTGTGAGGGGAAGAAATGGATAGAAGAGATTGGGAATTAAGAAGGGATGAGAAAGATTCCCTTCACTTTGTTTCATTGGGAGGAAAAGGAAATTTTTTAATATCTTTTATCTTTTGTTTTTAAATTTTAATTTTTTTAAATCTTTTTTTAAGTATTACTAGTATTTTTTATTTTAATTATTTTAATTTTTAATTTTTTAATTTTTCTATAATTATAATTATTATTATAGTTATTATTATTTTACTGATTATATATTTAATTTTTATTTATTTATTTTATTATTATAATTTTTGATTATTATGAATTTTTACTCTATTAATATTTTATACTTATTTTCTATTTATTTTTAATTTTTAATTTATTAATTTATTATATATTTTATTCTTTATATTACTTGATGGAGATATGGGCTCGTCCCCCAGGCCCATAGGGAACAAGCACAACCTCAACAAAGATATGGGCTTGCACCCCTAAGGCCCGTAAGGATGAGCTCGGCCATACAGTACGCTCGGTCCAGTTAGGCCCCCTCGGCTCGACTGAAACGAGGTTGTGCCTGTCTTGGAATCTCGCGTCTCATCTGGACGACAATCAAGCCTGCCCTAGGGCTTCCCTCGACGTCTCAACCCTTGGCAAAGTCAACCCCTAGGGAACCACAGACTTGATGACAAGTTGCTTTTCGAGACGGAGAGAGTGTTACGAGACTATTGTTGTTGTTGTTGTAAAAAATAATAATGGAGAATAACTTTATACTCCCTCTGTTTGCAAAAAGACTTCCTATTTTGACTTGGAGCAAAAACAAGGAAGTGTTAAATTATATTTGACTTCTAATTTTGCCCCTGATGTGATGGGTAAAAGTAAGATGTGATGGATAGATTATTAGAGAAAAAGTATGATGTGATAGGTAGGGTATGAAAAAGTAAAGGTAAAAGTGGTTTTTTAATAGAAAGTGGAAGGGTTTTGTTAGAAGTAGAAGAAATGAAAGAGGAAGTGTTTTTGAGAACGGAGAGAGTATTGAATTGTCTTATTGAATACAAAGAATCAACCCTCTTTATATAAGAAGAGGGTAAAACAAATAAGTAAAGTTATATTTTTACCTGAATTCTATTCTTACTATAATAAGAATAAGAAAACTATATATCAAACCCTAAAACATATTCTAACACTTTCCCTCAAGTTGAGAATGAGGATCATGAATGAACAACTTGAACAATAAAATTAGAATTGGCGTTGATCAGACTGAACGAGAACAATGCCCAGATTGCATACAACGAAGCAGACTGGACGGATCTAACTTTTGACGGTGGACAAATTTAGGCGAAGAGAACAGACGAAGGGTGCCACCCCACCACTACTGCACAAACAACGGGAAACGACAATGTATGTCGACTAGCTATTGATGATGTGTGTTTGATGACGATCCAACAATAAGGGGAGGACGGACGAACCAGGTGGAGAAGTTGCTGGACGGATGGGACTCCTGGCAGTTGACAGTTCATGATGGAAGAGGTACCGTGGCGGATGGCGGACCTATTTGCTGGCGGTTGTTGCACGATGTGTGGTTGTGGCGACAATAATAACGATTGGCAGCGGCACACCTAGAATTGGGCGACGAGTTGAGGCACCAATAATTTCAGCAATGTCCTGGTTTTCGATGACGACCTGGGACTGGGATAGGGAAACAACTACTGATCTATAGATCTAGACGCAAGAAACAAGGAACAAAGAAGAACAGCAGCCCGGCGGACGGCTAATGGCGGTGGAGTCACCCGCTAGGAGCGAAGATAGAATTTTATGCCACCAAGAACGATGGCTTCGATGCCATGTAAAAAATAATAATGAAGAATAATTTTATATTGAATTGTCTTGTTGAATACAAAGAATCAACCCTCTTTATATAAGACGAAGGTAAACGTAACAAATAAGTAAAGTTCTATTCTTACCATAATTTTATTCCTACTATAATAAGAATAGGAAAACTATATATCAAACCCTAACCCTAAAACATATTCTAACAACTATTATTATTGTTGTTGTTGTTGTTATTGTTGTTGTTGTTGTTATTATTATTATTATTCCCTATCTGATACGTATACGGTATCATGACACATCACATAATCTCTCTCTCCCCGTTCGTTTCTTCTTGGAGCTTTGAGGTGCTCGAAATTGATCCTTCCCTATTCGATACGTATGACACATCACATATTTCAGCAACATGATGACAGACATGATGCTATAGCTCAATCTAAAACAAAAAATGACTAGACAACTACAACATCTAAGACCTATTTTTTGTCAAAAATAATGCCAACAGTGGAACTAACATCACGAAGGTTAGTCGATCTAAATTGTACTCTTTTGAGTAGCATTTTTGATAAAATTTAGGATGAGTATGAGTAACTGAATTGTGTCATAAGACACTTAAAATCACATTAAAAGATTGAACCTGATCGATAACTAGTTCAACTAACTCAAGTGTTTATAAACTCGTTATTTTCTTCTTCAATACTATAATTTTAGATGTGATAAATTCAACTATGGCAGCTAAATTAACAGAGGGTAGGTAGTAAGGTAGGCATATATAGGATGGTAGGGTGTGTGTAGCAGCAACAACCCTTGAAGAAAAGAGACAACAACTAACCCTTGTGTAGCAGCAATAATAAAATACATTTCCCAAGTCCCAATGAGGACTAAGTACTTCAAATCTTATTAATTAATACGGTTTATGAGGTTGAATTATGTATTGGTGTGACATATATATGCATTTGCAGGGCAGTTTAATTTACAGAATTATGATGATGTTAACGTAGATGAAGCTTGTATGTAAATCATGCATGCATGTGGTGGAAAGCCAAGAAAGACACTTAACAATATTATTGTACTTATAATATTAATAATTATTATAAGCACCATCCAGCCAAGACAGGGACTAATATAAGCACTCAATATGCTTTTTTCATGCAAATCATGCTCCATCAACAACCAATGTGTTTTTGTTTTTGTTTTTATATTATTTTCTCCAAAGACAACCTAAACCTTGACAAGATCCACTGGTGTGTTTGTTTACTACGTACCAATAATTCAAAGAGTGGTTACCAAAAGAGGAGTTTAATTAAATAGAGGTAGCCAGCTGTGAAATTGAGTCTCTATAGATC